TCTCTCTGATATCAATTCATTTACAAAGTCTCTCCTCAGCCATCCTTTTTTCTCTGACTAGCCATGAACTTACAAACTCCAAATCCATTAATCTAAAGAATTCAACTTGTCATTTTTTTAGTTGTTTGTTATAGTAGGCTTTACAATTACCTAATTTCAGATTCAATAGAGAATAAAAGAAAATGAAATTTTCAACATCAACATAATTTTTTTTCATCCAGAGAACAATTGGATGCCATCAAGAGAGAATTTTTAAAAATGCACTTCCTGTCTTTCAAACTGAAGAAATCTCATGTTTAAATTTTGAAACATGCATTTCAATCTTATTAAAATTTATTTAAATGTTCCAAATCCGCTACCACTTCTGAAACATCTAACATCCCATTCGGGGTCACATCAGAGCGACCTTTCAATTATGAATACATGTACAAGTAAACACAAACACTTTGGCCATGTAGATTCAAAAACAGTTCTCAAAAAATTCCACGGCTACATATCATCATTATTGATACTGTCTTACGTTGAATTAAAGTAATTTTGGAATAAATTTCATGTATCTTCTGCAGTCTGGCATCTAAACGTGAATAATGCAAACGAAAGAGCACAAACTATACAAGATACCCCACACGTCATACATAACACAACTTTTGCAATGTATATCTTTTTACTACAAAACTCCTCGGGTGTTTTGATGATATGTATATCAAAAACCCATCTGAACTATTTTTTGGATTTCGGTTAGGAACCATTTTCTTTGCCTAATCGAAGTTCACTCTTACATGACCCCAAATAGGATGTTGTTAGATGTTTGAAAGCATTAGGTTTAACATCTAATTTTAAAAATTGCTCTCCATCTGTGACATCAGTTTGGAATGTTATTGGTTTTACTATTGAGTAAAGTATTACAAAAACAGAATGTCTGGGTTTTTTTTCTCTGATGAGATTGGACAAAGATATGCATACTTAAATATCATCATTTTATGCACTTTTTCGGTACATATTAGATGAAAGCATGCTAACCGCTTTTCAGTACTTTCAGTACTTTGATTCATTAATGTAGTTATTTATTATTATATCTGTTAACAATATATTTTTATTTAAATCCACTGGGAATGAAAATTAACTTTGCTGTAAGAGACTTTTATTAGCGTTTTAAAATTTATTACCGGGTATAAACTTTGTGTATTTAATCAGTTCATGTTTATTTACATACTAAGGCAATAATGTGGACCTTATACATGTTTTAATGTCAAGGTCAATGTAAATTGTCACAGTTTCTTAACTAGACATATGATAATGTACTTTTTTTTCATAATTATTAATTTTTTAATGTAAATTTCCCTGGAATGACCGGGTGACACATATTGTAAATGTCAATGAGGAATGCTAATCGTTACAGGTCTGCTTTATCACGATGATTTTACCGGTTACTTGTAAAAATGTTACAATGCTCTATAAGCTCCATCTGAGTCACTTTAAGTAAGGATGATCACCGGGAACTGCGAGTGAATTTTTTAAATGAAGGTTGTCAAATATTTGTGGTGATTTTGTGACAGGTGAGAGAGTGTGGGCGATGCTTCAGTTGTTTGACACATCAGTACAGCAGGTTACCTGGGTAAAATCTTCCTAACGGCTGCACAGGTATCTATATCAGGGTAAAATAAGGAATAAGGATAGAATTAGAGTGGTTTGATGTTATACAAAAAATGGAGATCAGAAAGCAGCTGCTATTTTACAACTTTGTCTGAGTACTAGTCTAGATGATTTACTTTCAATTGAAGACAAAACGTACAAAAGAACATGAATTGTCTTGATGTGGTTACCGTGGCTTCTTGATGTTTTTATGGTGAAGCTTAGATACAAGTAATTAAACTGGATTGACTTTTGGCATGTGGGTTAAAAGTGATAAAATCTATCCTAAACATGCTAAAAAAAGCCTTTTCAAGTATACCTTATCAGCTGTAGTACATGTAGCATAAATGGGGGGAAGAACTTGAGGCACTCCTGTGAAACTTAAGATTTGGATTATTATAAACATAAGTGATAAATATTGGTTATGTTCTGTGACATCTGTTACTTAGGTGTCCAGTTATTGCCAATCATTACTGAATGGTCAAGCACTGTGTCATGTGATAGGAATGTTAACCTGGCATATTGACCTTTCTGATAAGGTCACTCAAGCAGCAAAGTAAACTGAAACCTTTAATGGTGTATTGGGAAAATAAAATATGAAAGATACCCAAAGTTTGTTTAAGGTTTTGGAAATTATTAAGGAAGATGAGTCATCCACATTTAGAGGACTGCCATTGAGAGGAATTTTAATGGTGTTCTTAATTGTCAAAGATGAAAGGGTTTTTGATCTTTGTACATCAGCAGTTAGCAGAAATATGTTGTTCATTTCAGAAAAAGGTCCATTCGTGTTCTTCCAGCCATTTCATCTGAGATATTAGTTTTTACAACACTGCTTCATTTTTCACTGCATGGTTCATTTTGAAAGAACTGGGGGTGGGGGGGGGGGGGGGATTTATGGAGTTTGAGACAAACAAAAACATAAACAAGTCTGTTGACTTAGAGCAGTCACACAAGATTTTTCCCATCATACAAGGCCATTTTGTTTTATAGATTCATTCAACTTTCACATAAAATTTTACACCTGAGCTTTTCATACTTGGGTAGCTACTAGCTTTGTATACAGGGTACACTTATAGGTATAGGGAAGCCTGACGTAACATAGTATACCGGTAACATTAGATTGTAGGTCACAGACAAATGGAGAACATTCAGTGGACTGGAATGTAGCACATTGTTCAGTCAGCACAAATCTATATACATGTTTAAACAGGTCACATACTTACCTGTTCCGGCCAGGTAGTCCTACCTGTGCCTCACTGCTATTAGTACCTGCAGAATCTACAGGTAAAGCACTTCTCACTAATTATAGTGTTACAGTAACCGATGAAAGATAAATGTTGTTTTTTGTGCAAATTAATGTTTTGTAGAAAAAAAAATAAATCCATGTTATATATATTTTGGATTTTGCAATGATCAATGAAGTTAAACTGCTGCTATTTATAGGTTGAATTAGCCAAAGGTCCTTGAAATGAAAAATGCTTTGTAATTTCATACTGTTAGCTTGCTTGAATATAATTTGCTGCTGAATACCTATGTAAAACTAGAGGTACTGTGAGCGATGAGCTCACTAAATGATACCCCCCGCCTCCCATATGGTTATAACTGGTGAAAAAGTCCATGTTTTCCTGTGGCCGGGAAACTCAAAATATGTGTCGGATCAAAAAGTAAAATAGGAGGTGCACAATGGCAATATGTAATAAAGATTCTGTGAAAGTTTCATCAAATTTCATTCAGTGGTATTAGAGGAGTTGCGGATAAGAGATGGGTACCCCAAAGCGTAACAGACGGACGGACGGACGGACGGACGTACAGACGGACGGACGGAATTAACGATTACTATATACCCTCCCACTTTTCAAGCGGGGGGTAAATTAAATTTATAAATTACATTGAGGGAGGGGGGTATTTTCCTATGCATTTACAGTCTACTTCCACTTTTGTAAGATAAGGGGGTGGGATCGATATATTGTATATGAACGTACCAGGAAGGACATCACAGTAGAATCCTGCTACAATGTAGCATGAAGGCTTGGGTAATGAGGGTTTTAATTTTTAAACAACACAATATTCCCATTCATTAACTACAAGTTGTTAGACCTTGGTAAACAGTTCATTCATCATCATGATCAGGGATTGTCTCTTTTCAGAAGTAGAGTTTTTTTTCCTGCGGAGAACATGACATGCTCTTTAGTGCGTAAATGTGCATGCATCCTGGTCCTCTGTATTGATTTCGTCCCTCTTTGACAAAGCCATTGATAGTTTCTTGTTTTCAAATAATTTTAAAAGAAGTGGAATAGTTCAGAGTGATTTATTGGTTTTATAAAAATGACATCAGGATTGTTCATGGTCTCGTTTCTTTGTGACAAGGTTGTTTAAGTTTGGAAGCAGATGGTGAAGCTGAAATTAAACCAAAGAGAGGCAAAAATGATTTTTATTTCGGGCAAAGATCTGTCCAGAATATCTGGCCTGCACTTTTAAAAGGGATGTCTTTTTTCAAGTATTCTTACTGACCTTCAAGGCACCTGATCTCAGAATTATTATGATCCTAGAGTTTGTGTCGGCATGAAATCAACTAATATTTTGTAGAGTTTTGAAATGTCATTTTTGTCAGAGCACTGCTTGAACTTTGGGGGGGGGGGGGGGGGGCTGTTACCTGTATAAGAACTGATGTGTGTGAGCAGTTTCTACAGAGAACACTAAGGCATTCTCCAAATGTAAAGTTTTCAAACCTATTAGAATACCAGTTTTCTGAAATCATTAATTTTATTCATTCGTTGTCATACTCAATTTCATTGGTGCACAAGCTAGTATAAACATTTGACACTGTCTGAAAAAAGCACAAAGCTTTAGTTGAAAGGAAGCTTTATGTAGTGAACAAATGTGTCCTTCACCTCGCTTGGATCCCAAAGGTGATTGGATTAAAACCAAGAATGACATCACTTGACAAATGTCCTGAATGGTATTTATATAAATAGAAAATCATGATTCATCATTATTCATTAATATCATTTGACAGTTGCATTAGTGTCCTTAAATTGATTTATATGCAGTCAACTTCATAATATACATGGTATTAAAATTAATATAACATATGCACTGCATATTTTTAAATATATATATAAATGTGATGCTTTGTTCTTTGTTTTGACAAAGTGCATTTCAATGCTTGTAAAAATTGTGATTTTAATCATTATGTGATAGATACATTAGGTAGAAACTTTGTACACCTGGTAGCTGTGTATGTGTAATTTAACAGCTAGGTTTATTACCGTTTAACATATCTTGTGGTAAGGGTTCTAAAAAAATATTTTTCAGTGTCATTGCCATTTTAGTTTCGTCATTTATGAAGGTTATTATTTCTTCAACAGGGCAACACGTGCATTCCAGCAAGTACTGTACACCGAACCTGGCTTTAAACGTGCTAACGAAGTACATATACGTCTAGGACTGATCCATAAAACCCTGCACAACCATGACGCAAGCATCAAGGTACTCCAAAGAAATAACATCTGAAACAAAATCCACACGTCATTGCGACACAGAATGTGACTCAAATATATAAATAACTAAAGCAAAGCTCATTGCAAAGCAACGAGTAGGTCTTCCGTCCAGTTTTGACCGGAAGTGACGTCAACAAGAGAAAGGAATGAGTTAAGACGCCTTCAGTGTCTCTAAAATTTAAAAGTTTTCAATTTTACCTTCAAAATAAGCTATTTTGGCTACTTCCGGTTTGACCGGAAGTGACATCATTTGACGAATTTAGACAATTTAGGCATCATTTCCGGCTGACGTCAAAGTCACAAGTACAAAAAAACTTTGAAAAAAACTCACATAAAACCATTTTTTCTATTTCTTTTGACGCAAGAGAAAAAATTTAATTTTTCGACTACTTCTGGTTTACACCGGAAGTTATTCAAATGGATGCCTTTTGTTGACGATTGTAAATGTGACCATAAGTTTTACTTGCCATTATTCAAAACGGTTAAATTTTTCAAAAAATCTCGAAAATTGATGTCACTTCCTGTGTCGACCGGAAGTGACGGATGCAAAATCAAAAGATGCCATGCATAACTGAAAGAGATGTGTTATCATCCCCCAAAATATCTTGATTAAATCTTGAGTGGTTAAGAAGGAGTTGCTTGGACAAAATGGCAATTTAAAAAAAGAAAATCGGACAAAAAATGTGACTGGAAGTGATTTTGCAAAAAATAAAAAAATTTTATGGAGATATTACATGTATAACAATGCATCATTCCTGAAAAAATCTTTGAAATCGGTCAAGTAGTTTCCGAGAAATCACGTGTACAGTGGAGCCTCATTTATCCGGACGCTTTGGTTCCCAAGCAAATTGTCCGGATAAATGAAGCGTCCGGATATCTGAATTCTATTGATTTCTCTTCCAGGTATACTGTATTTGTATTGTAACTCTTATATATGTAAAGAAAGATAAATACTATCGTATAGAAATAATAATTTATTATTTTAAAATGTGATTTTCTCCTCGTCAATAACAAACTGCCTTAAATCTTGCAATGAAGAACGTGGAAGATCTACTTTGCGTTGGCAGATTTCTTTCTTTAAGGTGGCGGAAATGCCGACTCGCGCTCTCTTTGCCGGCGGTGTAGACATGGTTGTTGCTGGAGAGCAGAATGACAAACATTGGATATAACACTGCTTATATGGGCAGATTTTTAATTACTCAGCTTATTTTTATTTTCTACTCTCCTATAAATTGATGAACATAGCCAAGCGATTTCTCTCATTTGCAGCTTTGATTACACCCAAGCGAGCTGTCAGTATCGAGTTCGAGTCTAATTTTAATTTGAATAGGCCTAGTTACTCATCCACGCTAAATCTGACATATAAAAAAAATCACGCAGTAATCTTTCCAAGCGAAATCATTGATTGTCTAAAATTATTTTAAAATTTTATTGAATGTTTTAGGTTTTTTTTTTCGATGATAACTGCCACTAATCTACAGATGAAAATTACACAATGTGCACATGTGTAGACAACGAGATTATGAAACTATGTCGTCCGGTCTATAAATAGAAAAATATTTAAAACCAGCTCTGTACTAAAATTATAAATATCTCGCAGATAACAAATAACTGAATAGAAAATTGTTTTCTGTTACCAACACAGTTAATTGTTTGTTTTCATTTGTGTATCGATCTCTCGTATATTATGACCATATCCACTTAGCATGCTTAATCCGTGGACTAATCATCGTAAGTCATTCATAACAGGTCACAGGTGATGATGACTGATCGTCTTGTAAAAACAATCAATCCGGCCAGTGTTTTCATAACAATTATCACTCAGTTCAGGCGTGAATGTTGACAAGAGTGGAAGTACAAATTAAAATTTACCGTCCGGATAAATGAAACAATTTATAACGTAAAAATACATTTTGTAGTAAAAAAGAGCCGTCCGGATACGGAACGCGGAATTCCGGATAAATGAGTCAAAATTACGTTAAAAAAATCCATTCCCGAGAAAATCGTCTGGAAGGTGAAGCGTCCGGATATCTGGCGTCCGGATATCTGAAGGTCCACTGTACTATGAAAAGGGAATAATAATAATAATAGGAAACATAAGAAAAACAGTAAGGTCTTCCGAAGGAAGTCGGAAGACCTTAATAAATAATAAGTTTTGAACATTCCAAAAAAAAAAAACAATTAATGTAGAAAGGATATAAATACAAACAAGGAAGATGTACATATAAAGGTTTAATAGCTCTTCTTTTTTAGCTCACCTGTCCATCTCTAAACTTTTCACATTCTCAACTTCTTCTCAAAAACCATGGGGCAGATTTTGTAGTACATGTACATATCATTAAAATTTGACATTACATAAATAAGACATAACATATAATTTGATATCTCCTTATGAGTGAAAAATTCTCAGATGGGATGTAAAACAACATACAATCAATCAATCAATATGATTATAATATAAACTTTCAAGAAATGAAAATATCATTTACACTCAGTTCTGTTTTTTTTAAGGACAATAAAAACTTGAATCTACAGTTGATATTGCTAGCATCCAGTTAAGGGTTAGTTTCTATCATCAAATTAATGCTATGTTCAAAATGAACAACAGTATATATAAGAGAGCTGTATGAGTGCTGTCCCATGGTATTTAGCTTGTAATTTTTGTAATGGTCAGATAGAATAGGAAATAATGTAATTTTTAGATGTTTCAACTGAAGGTAAAATGTTACTAGTAAATTCTTTTTAGAAAATAGTACACCTGTAACAATTGGCATTGAAATGCTTGTTGTGTTTGTGTATAATGAGACGTCTGTACAGCTGTTTCTGATTGGTTCTCCTCATCCTAAAGAGATGTTTTTGTTTCTTTTCAGCATTTCCGACAAGCTTTGAATGACTCAAACAAATGCTCCCTATCTAAAGCTCAAAGTAAGTTTATGTTCTTTTGATGACATTTTGAAAAAACACTTTCTGAAACTTCCTTACAACTTTTTAAAATATGAGGTATACAAAATAAGGAAAATGATAAATTTTCGTAATATTCAGATTTTTCAAAAAACTCAAAGTACTTTTCGTTACAAAGAATGAAAGTCATTCTTAATTCATATATGTTAATAGGATATTTCCACAATTGTAAAACACTTCCCTATACAAGGAACAAAAAAGCTTTCACAAGTATATTACTAATATGCATATTCATTGATGTGTAAGTAATTTTGTGAATTAAGAGGAGGCATTTCGTGAATTATAAAAAGTGTTTCAAAACTGGGTAAAATTACGAGCGTCCTGTTTCCTTGTTTCTGATTTTACAGTGAACGTTTACGTGACTGAGAGCTGGGTCTCGGTAGAGAACATCCTTCATTTAATAAATTAATTCCAGGAAATCCTCGCACCAGAGATTGTAAGAAATGTATATAGAGTTCTGCATATGATGTGTCTCCGAAGCTTACAAAACGACATGAAGCTTTTCTTGTAAAATATTTCATTTTAAGTCTCCACGGTTTCAAAGTATAACTTAGTTGACCTATTAGCACCTTTTTACTTATGAATGTGTGCAAAACTTCTTACAGAGAAAATGTATATGATTCAGACATGAAAATTAATACTCAAATTACACCTCCTCTCATTTTATCCTATAATATTTTTTTTGTATTTTTCAGTTCGCCTCCACATTGCACATCTTTTAGAAATACAGGTAAATTAATTGCTTTGTTATTAAAAAGCTCCAACTACGCTAGTTAAGCATGCAGTAGTTATTCAAATGAGGCTAGTTTAGCATAGCATAGTTATTTAATAGCTAGATAAAACTAGGGTAGGCCTGACAGCATGCAGTAGTTATCAATAGCTAAATCAAACAAGGCAAGGACAGCATGTATGTTATTCAATTACTAGATCAAATGAGGCTAGTGCAGCATGCAGTAGTTATTCAGTTACTAGATAAATCTGGGCTATGTCAGCATTTAGTTGTTTTCAATAACCAGATCAAACTAGGCAAGGGCAACATGCAGTAATCAATATCTAAATCAAACAAGACTAGAACATCATGCAGTAGTTATCAATAGCTAGATCAAACAAGACTAGAACATCATGCAGTAGTTATCAATAGCTAAATCAAACCACTAAGGCAAGGACGGCATGCAGTATAAGTCTGCTGATTCATGTTTGCAATGACCACATAGTTATGAGGTGTAGACCAAGAACATTATCACTTATTATACCCCACGCAACTAGTTGCGGGAGGTATAATGTTTTTGACCCGTCCGTCAGTCAGTCAGTCAGTCAGTCCGTCAGTCATCAGCGCAACTCCTCATAAACCGCTGCACAGAATTTCATCAAACTTTGCAGGTATTTAGGACATAATGTGTAGATGTGCATATTACCAGGAAATTCCGATTCCATTATTTTTTCACTTTTTAACTTAGGCATTTGGCCATACCTTGAATATAGAGATGAACAGTTTGTCAGCGCAACTCCTCATAAACCGCTGCACAGAATTTCGTCAAACTTTGCAGTTATTTAGGACACAATGTGTAGATGTGCATATTACTAGGAAATTCCGATTCCATTATTTTTTCCGGGAATTTCCGCACTTTTTAACTTAGGCATTTGGCCATACCTTGAATATAGAGGTGAACAGTTTGTCAGCGCAACTCCTCATAAACTGCTGCACAGAATTTCGTCAAACATTGCAGGTATTTAGGACATAATGTGTAGATGTGCATATTCCCAGGAAATTCCAATTCCATTATTTTTTCCGTGAATTTCCGCACTTTTTAACTCAGGCATTTGGCCATACCTTGAATATAGAGATGAACAGTTTGTTATCAACTCCTCATAAACCGCTGCACAGAATTTCAAACACACAGGTACTTAGGACACAATATGTAGATGTGCATATTTCCAGGAAATTTTGATTCCATTATTTTTTCTGGGACTTTCCGCACTAAATACTTAGGTTTTTGGCCATACCTTTTATATAGAGATAAACAGTTTGTCAGCGCAACTCCTCATAAACCACTGCACAGAATTTCGTCAAACTTTGCAGATATTTAGGACACAATATGTAGATGTGCATATTACCAGGAAATTCTGATTCCTTTATTTTTCCTAGACTTTTTGGCCATACCTTTTATATAGAGATGAACAGATTGTCAGCGCAGCTCCTCATAAACCACTGGACAGAATATCATAAACTTTGTAGATATTTAGGACACAATATGTAGATGTGCATATTACCAGGAAATTCCGATTCCTTTATTTTTCCGGGAATTTCCACACTTTCCAACTTAGACTTTTTGGCCATATTTTGAATATACAGATGAACAGTTTGTCAGCACCACTCCTCTTAAACTGTTGTATAGATATTTAGGACATATTCCATTATTTTATCCCAAAGAATTTTGCCTATTATTCAAGAAAATTTCTCCCCCCCCCCAATGCCAAGAAATTTTGATTCCATTATTTATCTAGTTCATTCCACATTTAAATGTCCTCATATGCAAGACATTTTGATGTGAAAATTTTTTGCAATTACATGTATTGCCCTTTTTGATCTATACTATGTATTTAAAGTGCACTAGCTGTGCCTTTCATTATGTGTATCACTGTCAAGTTTTGGGGGAGCGTGGGGTATGTGAGCTAGCTCACTTTTTCTTTCATATTGCCAATGGAATAAAGTGACTATGTAAAATGGCAGGTTTTCACTTCAACAGAACAAGCAAAGCACTACTGATTATGTAATCTTTATTTTTCATAGAACAATTGTTACTTGTGAAGCCAATAATTTATTCACTTTCATTTATTTTCAGTATCCAGTAGTTTTCATACTATTTATAGTAAAGTTAATCAACTGCAAATGCTGTTTATGAAAGAAACACTATTGCATTTTGTTTTCATGTTTGTCACGTAGATTACAAACTAATTTACATGTTAAAACATTTAAAGTTAGAAAAAATAAGAAACAAGGGATTATTTAACAATTATTTATCTTACATATCAGATGAGTGGTTGAAAAAACAATTTGTTCAGATTTTCTGGAAAAGAAAAAAAAAATTCTTGAAGAATCGAGAAAGAGAAAGGGGGAATGAGAGAAGAGTTCACTTAGTGAAGAATGATTTTTGAATATTTCTTTTTGAAGATCTAAGATTGAAGTGCCAATTTAAGTTTACTGATATATTTGCCAGGTTTGCTAATTTCTTTAATGTCTTTGAAGTAATAAGAATAGAAAGCGGCCTTTCTCATTAAGGCTGAATATTTTATAGCTCAGTATCCCACACATACTTTTTGTTTGATTTCATCCATTAAAAGCAGTAAAGGAACTAACGTATAAAGAGATGAATGAGATGTTTTATATACGACTGATTAAGTATTTAACTGAAAAAAAAACAGTATGAAAAGGCTAAATAATTTCAATATATGGATTTTTATATTTTCTTTCGGAAAAATGTCAAAGTAATTCGATATTGTTTTATGCAGAACTCTTTTTTTTCCCATGAGTTTGGATATATTGTACAAAATATTTTAAACCCTTCATGCTGACTTTGCATATGTATACTATACAACAATTTGTACATGAGAAAGTGGTACCTATCGAATTTAAGTAGGTTGTCTTCCCGTTATGTAAAAGTAAGAGTAATTGATTTTTATGTTTGATGATTGATAAAAAAAGAAGCCCGCACACGTCTTTTGTGTGACATCACTACGCCCACGTGTTTGAGAGAGTGTCAATTTCATACATATAAACCAAGGATTTAACTCCGTTGTACAAATACCTGTCTGATGATGAAATGTGGTGCATATCAAATGTAACGACTGAGTAAATACAGCTACGTTCTCATTCACATCCAGCACTGTACACCAAGGAACAAGTTCTCAAGTCAACCTGATCCTAAGCATGGTGTGAAATGGACTAGAATTTAGGGGGGCTAATAATAATGAAAAAAGTTTTATGTACTAAGATGGCACATGTTAATTAAAGTGGTTTGAAGGGGAAAAAATAGATTTCTTGTCATAGTTGAAATGAGTATGATGTCAGTCAGATTTTACAGTGTTGTGTCATCTTCATTCAATATGTAAATTCTTGTTAACAGGGAAAGTACAAACAGGCCAAGGAAGCCTACGAACACTTTGAGAGTCCGGACGTATCGGAGCCCCAGGTCAAGGCCACTGCCCTCAAACAACTAGGTAAGTCATGGCTCCATTACTATCTCTCTCAATTTTTATCTCATCTGTATGGGTTTCTTTTATCGAACTTAACAACTCTATGGCATGCAAGACTTCCATCTAAGATATTTCAGTGATGTTATATCTGCCGTATCTGCAGGAGTTAGCCTTTGACAAAACCTACACACTCCCTCTCCTAGTTTATGTGTTACGTCAGTGCGTTCATTTCTGTACGTATTGATCAGACAGAGTCTGGGTTTTCTTTAGTATCATCTGACCTACTTAGACTGCTTTGTAGACCTCTTTTATGGCACACAGACAAATAAGCAGGCTACAGTTAATTTGGTAGGTCAAATTCTATGCCTGACAAAAATAAACCTAACCATGTAATTTTGATTGCCGTGTTTCTTGTAAAAGTAACCTAATTTTTGTCCCTATTAAAAAAAAAAACCTCCCTGCGATCAGTCACATCCGTCAGCCTATCGGTGGAGGTTCTCTCCATAGCTGGTATTGATTTTTATAAAACTACACAGTTGTGTCATGCACCTTAAAAGGATGTTATTTTTTTTTCTTTCTGACGTAGTAGACAGGATATAAATAAATCCATGTGTAAATTTTCCCACTATAAAAATTCCTGCCGAGAGGACAGATTGCGTAAGCAATACACCGATGGCTGATATAGAGCAAAATAATGGTAGGATTTTTTGAGACTCTACTGCTTTTAAAATTTACTTTGTTCTAATGAAAATGAAATGAAAAAAAAATTTCCATACCAAAGAAATAGCTGTATTTGTTATATTTAATATTGTGCTTAAACTCCTTTAAAATTTTTACTTCTCAGGGTGAAATGTAATTTTTTTATGTCATACTTTCATAGTTGTGTAATGTAAAAGAATATGTGTAGAAATTATACCACTGTCAACTAAATAGGGTCATTTACATAAATTTACTGGTAAAGAGCAATGAATTGGTGTCACTCTTTTATATGTATGTCAGTAAATTGTGTTTATAACAGGTTTTTTTTCCTGGCTTCATTTAAACATATTAATGTCATAAAGTCTCCTGTCAATGCTCTACAACAGTGAGACGTACAGTAATTGCTAAGTCAGGTGAGTAATTATTTCCCAAGATATCTTCCCGTGGAATGATATAGATTAAAACTCTTGTAGGCTGGTTATACCACGTAACAGAACAGCTAGGGGACAAGAATCGTCGCGAGAGTTTGGCCGTCCACTATCTGAAGGAGTCGCTGTCCACAGACAACACCAACGGACAGACCTGGTACCTCCTGGGAAGGTAGAGATTACATCCAATCAGAGGACGGACGCCAAATAATATATCAATAATAAGCATTAAAAGACAAACAGTCCCCTGGAATGGGAAATGTTTTTAACTCCTTATATTATGTCTAGACAAATGTGTGAATTAACAAGCCATTTTCTCTGATGTTATGCTTCAAGCAATAAAACTTGTGAATAATAACACTTATTATTATACAGTCTAATTGGTTTACTGTTTCTAGCAATTATATTCAACAGATCCAATTGATATGTGTAAAACCATAAACCTCTCTAACCAGAGGCTATGTCATAGACTTAGTGTGAAGTGTAATTGTTTTGATGATGTCTGGAATTTTGATTTTTTTAAATTCTTGGCAGGTGTTTTTCTACTCTGGGGAAAGTGCACGATGCCTTTGTATCCTATCGTAATTCCATTGACAAGTCGGAAGCTAGCGCAGACACCTGGTGCTCGATAGGGTAGGTCTTAACAATCACACACTTATTACTATTAACCCTATTTTTGTAGATTTAAAATTAATAGGTTTTTGTACTTATTAAGCTTATTTGTAGAATTGAAATTAAAAGTTTTTTTGTTTTCAAAAATATCAGATGTCACAATTTCAAAAGAAAAACATAGCGAAATACCAGTATTAAATATTGACATTTAAAAAATTTTTATTGGAAATGTTGGCAGATGAAAAAGGCATTTACCTATTGAAAAATATGTATAAATGTCACAAAATGTCTATTTTGATAACAGTTGTTAATGAATTGCATCAGGTGAACTTATGATGTTTAGACCTTTATAAACTGCCTTCAGAATATCAATATTGAATTGTTGCTTTATTTTGTATAGTTCTTTACCAGTTTTACAGTTTGATTGCTGCAGAATTTGATTGTTGTATTTTATAAAATATTTTATCATTTTAATTTCATTATGTAGAATTTGATTTTGTGGAGAATTTATTGTTATACCTTTGTAATTGAAGATTCAGGGGTATATCATTTTTGCCCTGTCTGTCTAGCTGTCTGTCTGTCTTTCTATTTATCTATCTGTCTGTCTGCAAAAGCTTCAACATTGCTCATAACTTTATTTGGGTACCATCAAATTAACCTCTTGACCTTGACTTTGAAGTTTGACACACTTTGACAAAAAAATTTCCAAACTTTAACCTTGGCCATAACTTTTGAACAGTTGGTGCTTTCATACTTCACAAGTGTATTCATTGTGACAAAATCTTTCAGTGGGTCTATATATTTTTGACCGTTTGCCCTTGACCTTAGAGTTTGACCCATCTTTTAAAATTTTTTTGAACAGTTGGGAATAGGGCTTTCATATTTCATTGGTATATTCCTTGTGACAAGATTTTCCTCTAGATACCAACAAATATGACCTTTTGACCATTGACCTATGGAGTTTGACTTTCATTTGAGAAACTTCAATTCTTGCCATAAGCTGCCATACAGGGGCATTAGTGTTTCATAAACACATCACGTTTTGTTAAGTATTGCTCTATTTTGATTTTATTTTCATTTTTTAGAGTACTATACCAGCAGCAGAACCAGCCTATGGATGCTTTACAGGCCTATATTTGTGCCGTACAGTTAGATAAAACCCACACTGCAGCCTGGACAGATCTGGGAATCCTCTACGAGAACTGTGATCAACCCAAGGATGCTTTAGCCTGTTATGTCAATGCCACCCGAAACAAAGGTCAGCATAACATCAGGCCACACTTTTACCCCCCAGAAAACTGAGCTCATGTGATTATGTGAAATATACATGTATATTGTAGTTGAAGTATTGTTCTGTATTTGTCCGTGCATGTTTCCATAGATAAGGGGACAAAAATTAAAACCCATATCAATCCTATAAACGTAGATAACAACACACAAATCAGCAAGCTGGATACATCACAGTTAATATACAATATTACAGATTGTTATCTATTGTATAGTTAATTACGGCCTTTGTAAGGAATGTAAGCTTTCTCTTGATAAGCTGCTTACTCTAACTGTGGTGTACATGTTGTGTATGTGACAAGGCTACAGAGGGGAGATATACTAGCATCATATAACTGGAGATTTCATTATAGGAGGAATTAACTCAAATCTGACCACAAAAATCAAGTACCTTCAGCAGCATTTAGATAGTGTTGCAGTACAGCATCTTCAGAGCAAGTAAGTTTTTACTGCTGTTTCCAAAGGTAAATGATTAGGCTAGCCATTGTTTACAATCAGTTTTGTTTTCTGTTCTAGATATTGATGAGCTGTTCATTTATTCTAGTGTTTTGTAATAAACCTAACTAGTGACTACCCTGTGTATAAGTATAAGTAACCTGGTGTGTGTGTTATTTTTAGACAGAAGAAGTTACCTAGTATCGAGGAAGCTTGGGCCCTGCCCATCCCCGCGGAGCTGACCTCTCGTCAAGGTCAGGGAACAATCCTACAGGTCAGTTAACAATGTATTATTAGAGCCTTCAGATGTACCTGAAGAAAGAGCCTACAGAGTACTGAACATTAACTGATGAACTGTTAGTGGAAATTGTATTTTCCAAGTCAAAATAATTTTAAATTACCTTGATTTTTTTAATACAATCATGTATACATGTATATAAATTTATTATGTATTTCCAGCATCCAATGGGAAAGAATGCCATGCTCCATTCTCAGGCAATGGGAGTTCAACAGAATAACTTGTCACCTGGCAACCCAGGGGTCATACTTCCTGATGACCCCTTGAACAAGAAGAAGAATCTCAAAAGGGTAGGAATCTTTTCCTTCTACACGTATATACAGACTGATTTGATGAAAGTTATTGTGGATTTGTCTGTTTATTTATTATACTTGTACACTTGTAGCCCTCCTCTGAGCCCTTGGAGTTGCCAGCCCCTCCCCCTTTGACCCCCCAGCAGATTCAACTCTTTCACAGCCTGCAACAAAATGAGGTTTAACTAAAACCTATATTTTGAAATAATCTTGTATATTTAAAAGCAGTTCATCTTAAATTGTGAATGTCGTAGTAAATTAAATATGGCAGCACCTGCTATTTAGAAATTGTGTTCGTTATATATGACACTACATGTGTGTAATATTTTAAGGCAAGCCTAAATCCTGGGCAGAGACAACAGCTTCAGAACCTGCACCATCAGATGCTGAGACATCAACAGTACCAGGTAAAGATGCAGCAGCGTGCTGCCGACCCAGGTCAGAGGTCATCAGACATGCTCAACGGCATGCCTTTGTCCACACATATCACGTCATCAGGACTTTTACCTCATGCCAACATTCCAGAAAACACTGCACAATCTCAGGGAGACACAGGAACACCTTTGGCTTCATCAGTCCATCCAGAGAGCACCTCAGAGGCTGGGCTTCCAAAGGACCTCCAGAAATTTGTGACGGATCACTTAAATGAGATAAATGAGACTGATTTGTCAGCCTTGCTGACCTCCTCTAGACATGATCTAGCTACATCAATCGCCGAGGACTTACTGGCACAGTTCACTCAGAGTCAGAGTTCTAGCGTGAAGAAGCAGGAGACTTCAGTGTTAAGTACTCAACAGTTGTCAGAATCTAGTCCACGAGATACCACACCCATCTCCCATGACTCTGTGAAAAATACTAGTCCCAGTAAACATTCCCCACAGACGCCTAGGGAGCCACGAATCGACCCCACCCAGGTAGAATACAGAGTTAAATGTGATAGCGACACCAAGCTTGTTATATCACGGAATATCCCCCGCAGCCACTCACCTCCATCTGCCCCCTTCAACATCTCAATCAACATGAAGGGCAGGGAGGTACTAGCAGCCTGCAAGGGATATGGTAAGTAGGGAAAAACTACTTAAGGGATACAGACTCCATTTCATGAAAAGAAAATTATGAATTTCAGATCATATTTTTAATTGTCAGTTGTTCTCATTTACAGGTAGAAGTGGAATAACAACTAGTATGCTGGGAGACAGGTGCCCTCCTCGACCCCCGTCCCCTCCCTACCCTCTACCTAAGGACAGTCTCAATCCCCCAACACCCAGTGTTTATGTAAGTCAAAGACACATTTAAGATGCCTCTTCATATATATAAAATATATTTATTAATACCATCAAGATTTTTACTGATTTTTCATCTTCTGTTCATCTGATGTGATGATGTTTACCTTTTCAGCTTGAAACCAAGAAAGATGCTTTTTCTATAGAACTTCAGCAGTACTGTTACTCCCAGCCTGTGGTTGTTATTAGGGGACTTGCTGGAGCTTTAAAATTAGGTAGAGTACCTTGACTTTATACATATTCATTTTCCTGTGTGTTTGCCACAGTGTATGTAAAGGGAAATAACTTGTGTTTTTTTTTCAGATTTGGGATTGTTTTCAACCAAGAGCCTGGTGGAGGCCAATGCTGACCATGCAGTAGAAGTGCGAACACAGGTCAATATTTTATCCAACTTTGATTAAAACTAGTAATACTTTGTCAAAAAAATTTTATCCTCTACAGAATCATGGAGAACAAATTAAATCTTTCTGTAATGCAGTAGCAACAAAGGAACCTTAACTATGAATTCTTGAAAAGATATGCTAAATAGCAGTTATCATAAGCTTTAATTGTTCATTAAAAAAATCTTTTGCTTGTCATTTCATCATAAAATAAGTGTAAATAATGTTATTACAGAAACAACAAGCCCCAGATGAGAATCGGGATGTGTATGGTAACCGACTCTGGCGCTGTGACAGCAGTCGAGGCAGGACCACCATAGCTAGATATGCTCAGTATCAAGCCTCCTCATTTCAGGAGTCCCTCAGGGTAATTAGGCTGAGCCTTGTTTTTATATTATTTTAACGTATTCTTATGTAAATCATCAAAGAACTTTCGTAATTATAAGCCAGATTATTCAGGAACCTATCATGGTGTACAATATGATATTTTGTGTTTGATGACTTTTAGGAGGAGAATGAGAAAGCTAAAGGACTTCACAAGGACTCTGACAGTGATTCTAACTCCTCATCAGGAGCCAAGGGGTAAGTCATCAACAGGAAGAAGCTTAACTCTTTACTCCTGTCACAATTTCATGAACTGGTCGTATCCCTAGAGTGTTTGGTTGGATGCCCCTTTTACTGTTTTAGATGAATTGGAGTGCAGTTTAATACTGAACTATTAGGGATTAAAATATTTCATTTATGCTATGTATTAAATGTCATTGTATTCATAATAAAATAAAATTTTCAAATCTCTTTACATAATTTTGATTGTAATTTGCTGTAAATAAAGAATTCAGGTGAAAGCAGGTGTAAATCCCTAAAAAGATATTTTCAATGTGTAAATTTTATTGTAGAAGGAAGAAGAAGACAATTAAGTTTGGTACAAATGTTGATCTTTCTGACGAGAAGAAGTGGAAGCCTCAGTTACAGGAGTTGACAAAGTTACCCGCATTTACAAAGGTCGTATCCGCTAGCAACCTGCTGAGCCATGTCGGTAACACCATTCTAGGGATGAACACTGTACAGCTGTACATGAAGGTTCCTGGGTCAAGGACACCAGGTCAGAGTTCATCTTTATCACTCAGTATATCTGGAAAATAAAAAAAACTACTTAATGATTTTCAGGGTCAAATTTCTATTAAATGTGAAAGATATTTCCATTTAGATCTATCATCTACCCAGAAATGGTTTATACTTGATAGTAATAGTCTGTCATTGAATTGAAATAAGATTACGTATGGTGTCCTTATTTTGAAACGAGGGTTTATTTAAATCATATAGGTCATCAAGAGAACAACAATTTCTGTTCCGTGAACATCAACATAGGCCCTGGGGACTGTGAATGGTTTGCTGTGCCTGAGGCCTACTGGGGGGTTATTCATAACCTCTGTGAAAGGTAATGATCTACTTACACTCAGTTGTTATCAATATTAAGAATCCTTATCAACTGAAGCAAAAAAATAAAAATGAAAAACTCAGTGTGTCAGTGCCAGTGTTCATCTTGTTTTGTATACACTGTATTCAGGAACACTTTGAAACACCTGACTGGTTCATGGTGGCCATTGTTCATGTTTCTGTACATTTATTATTACAGGAAAAATGTGAACTACCTGACTGGTTCATGGTGGCCATTGTTCATGTCTCTGTACATTTATTATTACAGGAATAATGTGAACTACCTGACTGGTTCATGGTGGCCATTGTTCATGTCTCTGTACATTTATTATTACAGGAATAATGTGAACTACTGTACATTTCTGTACATTTATCATTACAGGAATAATGTGAACTACCTGACTGGTTCATGGTGGCCATTGTTCATGTCTCTGTACATTTATCATTACAGGAATAATGTGAACTACCTGACTGGTTCATGGTGGCCGATGCTGGAGGATCTGTATGAGGAAGACGTCCCAGTGTATCGGTTCATACATGTCTGTGTACATTTATTATTACGGGATTAATGTGAACTAACTGGTGTGGCCATTGTTCATGTCTGTGTATATTTATTATTACAGGAAAAATGTGCATTGGGTGCAAGCAGTTGTAAGTGACCCAGTGTTTGAAATATCAACTTTTCTCCCATTAAATGATTGAGTACTAGTATTTGTTTAATTTTCATATTATTGCAGACATAAATTAGTTACGGATGAAAACTTAAATATTCATTGATATTTGATTGTTATTAATAGGGCTGGTGTAACAACATTGCCTGGAATGTGGGCCCCGTGAATGCTCGTCAGTTTCAGCTGGCCTTAGAACGCTATGAGTGGAATAAACTCCAGAGCTATAAATCCATAGTTCCCATGGTGCATCTGGCCTGGAACATTGCCAGGAATTTAAATGTTTCAGAGCCCAAGTTCTTTGAACAAGTAAAGTGAGTCTGAAGTTGTCATATTCACACAATACATACATTTAACATCATTCATGGAATACTTATTTTCTATGCCTTCTAGAGAATGATTTCAGTGTCTTTTCTACAGACACTATGATTTCAAGTATACTTCTCAGGCCATTATTTTTAGAAAATATCTCAAAAAGAATGCTAATTCTCATTAATTGATATTTTTGTTCCTTTTTGTAGGTCTTGCCTTATGCGCTCCTTAAGACAAATTCGTTTCACGTTGGACTTTGTTGAGGATCTAGGGCTAGAGGTTAAATGGCACGGCCGAGGCGAGAACGAAGCTGCCCACTACTGCAACGACTGTGAGGTAATACACATATAGTAAACATGTATAGTTCAATGTCAGTTTCAATAATACTGGGTAATATTTATACCATTAAGCCCTCCTGCTTTACTTCAGAAATGTCACTTGCAGAATTAGGGGTTCTTTATAAAGTTTGTCTCTTTGTCTGGAAAGAAAATTATAAGCTTTATTCTAACCATTTAAAATCATAATTCTTTATTACATTTTATCCTAATGTGAAGTCGAGGTATGTTATAACATATTTTATTTATTGCTGTACAGGTGGAAGTGTTTGACATCCTGTTTGTCCAGGAACAGGACAAGAAGTTCATTGTATACTGCCAGGACTGTGCCAGGAAGATCCACCCCCGACTGGAGGGATTTGTCATCCTAAAGCAGTACCACACCTCTAATCTGTGTGAAATCTTTGATCGCTTCCAACTGGCACATCATGTGAGTCATGGAATAATATATAATAATTGTATAGGCTTAAAATCTAGGGTTCATTGGCTTCATGATAGAGTCTTTAAAATGGCAGGATCAGTTTTTATATGTTTTAAAATGTAATGTTAGTATAAAAGTTAATAAAATGAAATGTGTTTCAATTAATGCAATATTTTCTTATCTTCCAGGTGCCAACCAGTTGAGGAAAAGTATTCTATAGCTGAAATAGAGACAGTTAATGTTTTGGATACCCACCAAAAAGGGAGAGAATTCCGCCAGTAATGACAAAATATCATGTCTATGCAAGCCAAAATACCACCTCAATAAGATCTCAATGGATTTATTCCACACATTCGCCACAAAGCTGGGATTTACACAATGCTCATTCAAGTGTCTTAATTTATACACATGTACTATACATTTTGATACCAAAGGTTTATTTAGAAGAAAAGCACATATATATTTATTTTGAAAAAAGTGTTCTACTTAGCCCACCCTTGCATGTGGATGTGGACTCTTCCAGATGGAAGGAATTAATTGAACATTGTTTGAATCAGTATATGATAGGGGTGTTCAGGTTAAGATTTACATGTGACTTATCTCATTATCATTCAACATAAGAGAAAATGATGCATGTCATAGTGGTTTTACCCATCATTTTATTTCCATAAGATGGGCTTGCTGTGTTGAAAATATCACCCTTCATTGTTGTGCTTGAGCAGTTAAGAGAATAAATGAGCAAGAAGAGATCAAATGGTCCAAATTTAAATATGTAAATGTGTGATAAAGTAATAGGTGGAAGATTGCAGCTCCATTATATGATAGACTTATGTGTAAGGTGACATTTGATTGGCTGATAGATATATTGGAAGAGCAGTTTTGAGTACCAGTTTCTGATTGGACACTGATACAGTCAGTGAAATCTTGTGATTGTGTATAAATGACAGTGCTTCATTGACTATTATATCAGAGTGTCGGTAGCAAGCAAATCTCAGGGAAAACACAATCCACATGTCCATACACTGACTATAGTTACTGAGGATGGCCTGGGCTGATAGAGGCTCAGAATGCGTTTTTTTTTCTTTGTTTCTCAGCTTCTGTATATATTTATGAATTGCTGCGTTAAAAGATTTAGGTAGAGTTCTTTTTGTGTACTATTATCTATCAAAAGACCAGGAATCAATAGCCAATAGTCATTTGGAATTTATTGATGCAAAGAGTCGATGTACTTTATATAATTCAATGGTAACAAATATAGGATTGCTTTCAAATAATTTTTTTCCTGTGGATTACTGCCCTTGAGTCTGCTGTTCATGTGACTGAGGTGTGATTCATTGAAATGTACATGTAAGGACTTATTACATTGTTTATTAATATTAAAGAAGAAATAAATCCATAGAAATTAGAAACAATGCTGACTTCTCTCATTGAACAAACATTGATACATGTACCATTTTTTGTGATCTCAGATACATATATAGCGTTCATTATTCATATTAATTATTTTGAATATTGTTGTACATACATACGCACAATATTTTAAAAGGACTACTAGAGATTCTTTGCTATGGAATTTGTTTGTTGGAGTATTTAGTTCTACAATGAATTTTTTTCTGTCATGTGCAGTGTTTCGCCTTTAATGGTGAGAAATTTTCTCGTTTGATTTAGTGATTATTTAGCCAGTTTGATTTAACCCCTCCCCTTTATGATTCAGTGATTATTTGTAATGTCATTGTGAATTGCTCTTTTTTCCTACAAGTTGTGATGATTCTTACTTTAATAACTTACATAATTGATTCTAGTGCTGTGAAGATTTTTCAAAAGTAAATTTGAAATACTGCGTCTTGATTTTTATCTTTTTTAAGTGTATTTTTGCTCATTCTGTAAATGTTTATTAAAAGCTGGAACGCATGTTTTAGATATTTTTTAATTAGAGTATGTAGATATAAAGTAGATATTTGTAGTTTAAAAGTGTGCACCACTACAGTTTTCTTGACGGGTGAAGCACTTATTCATTTTGAATTGTTATTCTTATAAAGTACAGTGTATCAATTTTTCCAAAAAAAATTTTGGCTGTTGATTATTTGAAATTAATGATGGATGTGAAATGAGGACCCATTAGCATTGATCGATAGCCTACTCTTTCACCTGTCAAATATTTAGAAAAACTGAAATCTGGTGTGCTCCTTTTGAATTACTTTTCAAGTTGAAAGAATTTGAAAGGAGTTTGTATCATTTACATGCTGACTATTGAGTCAGAGAAGCACTGATCTCAAATCTCTGTGTTATATCTGATATTGTACAGTATATAAAGTTATGTCTGCAATTGTAATATTATTTATTTTTGTAACCTTATGCATACTCTCGACATATTTTGCAAATGGTACATGAAATACATGTACAGTAAAGGGATTTACGCTTGTTGCTATGTAAATTGTGAATAACCCATCAAAAGAAAATGCTTGAAATCCTTAAAATGTACCTCAGTAATTTTATTTAAGATAGGCTGGTTTTCCCTAATTTATTTTTAGATCCTGGAAACTTAGAATATTAAGTGCTAACCAATGCATCACCTAACTGACCTCATCCTATTATTATTCATTTGCTCTTTTTATATTATTCATTGGGTGATTTGAGAGTCTGTCTAAATATATTTATTGTGTTGCAATAAAACACTGTCATACTACACTTTGTTGTTTTCTTCAAATAAGCAGTGCTCAAATGAAGAGTAAATATACCAATATATTGTAAGTATACAAGGTGCATTTTCTTGTAGTATCAAAGGGATTTGGTGGAAATAACATCAATTTTTCTCCATTTTCAATTTACATTACCGGTACTTATTATGAAGTAAAGATAGTCTGACCTTAATGAATGTTAATTTAAGGGAGGCAAACTTCCACACTAAACTACATCTAGATATGTTGTTACCCAAGATGCAGCATTTACACAGTTTTGGTCTGATAGGGCTAGCAGTTACTTGGGAATGGACTGTATCATGACTTTAAACCATTCAATTATCCAGCATCTGGAGCCAGTTCAGTAGTGTGCATCCTTAGATGTATCATCCATACACATGGAGCTTATAGTTACTTTAGAATGAACTTGCTCCAAGAACTTTAAAATGGTCAATGATTTGGGAAATGCAAGTAAAATTCAGCAGTCAAGTCAAGTAGTGTGTATCTTTACATGTATTTTCCTTGCAAGTTTGGTCAAAACAAGCATACAGTTTGGCTGTACTTGGAAATGAGATTTGCTAAATAAACATTAACTTGGTCATTGCAGTATCTTAAACCTTGACTTAGTACAATAAAACATCCTTGAAGTATGGTCCATTCATCTCTGATTAAAAAAAGATACAGGCCTGGGGACCATAAAACTTAGATGAGCTCACTTTTGATCTCAGTCTCACTTTTCCACTATATATATTCCTTTGGAAAAAGTGAGACTGAGATCAAAAGTGAGCTGGTGTAAGTTTTATGCCCCCCAGGCCACAAGCTCAAGGAAAAAGAAATCTCCAAAAATCTTAACCTGGAACACTGACACTGATGCCAAGAGTATTAATTAAAGGGCCAAACCAAAACTTAAATGAAGTGAGTAAAGGACACATAAAATGCTTTATTTTTTTTCAAGTATTGAAGTCTAAAATATCTATAACTTTAAAAAACACATATACCTGTAAATGGTGACAATTCAGTAACAAAGGGTATTGGGCTAGTATTAAACATGAGATCTTTTTAACATCTTAAAATATTGTAAACCAACTTTCATTTACGACAACTTTATTTGGAGAGTTATTGGGGGTAAACTAGTTCGTGATAATTAATTTTCGCAATCAAGCCTTATTTGATCTGTTGTTAACAGACAAAAAGACTGAAGACCGGTTTGCGGCGAGAAATATTCGCGATGACGAGGCTTTCGCGAACCTCACAAAAGTTTCTCGCATGTGAATAAAAGTTGGTTTACAGTATTAGTAAATCTTTTAAATTTTGGAAAACTATCAACATTAAAGTAATTGAGAGATAAAAAAGAACTGAACCATTTAATATATTTCTGATGCAATTACCGCACCTGTCCTTCCCATAACCTTTTCAATGCTAGTGAGTATTCTGATAGCACAGAAGTGGATTTAATTCTGAAAGGTGTATGGTCACGGATGAATTATTGAATGCCAAGTAATGCACTAAACTTAACTGAGCTGAGTTCAAGACAAATGCTATACATGTATATCCAGTTTTAATATGTACTTTACATGAAGCAGTACACGTAGCATTTTGAAAATTATATGAAGACAGATGAACACTTTTAAACATCTGTAAGTTCTTTGGTCCAATCACAAATAAAATTCTTGATTTTTATGTATCAACATGTAGATGAAAAATAGAAAACTAAAGTTCAACTGCTCTTGGTAATTTCATCTCATCAACTGCCAAATAAAACATCAAGTTATATAAATATCTTCAGAAAGTTGGTGTTAACATGTCAGATATGGGTAAACAAGAGGCCCATGGGCCACATCGCTCACCTGAGAAGCTTTGACCATAATCTGTTCTTTACCAGATTTACCTTGTTATACATAATGCATCCCCACCCTACCCCACTGATCATAATTTAGACATTTTGAAATCTACACTACCCCATGAACTTTCCATGGGCACATATGTTTCAGCTTTTTTGGCCCAGTGGTTCCTGAGAAGAAGATTTTCAAAGATTTTTCCTATATATTTCTATGTAAAACTTTGATTCCCTATAATGGCCCCACCCTTCCCCCGGGGGTCATGATTCCTACAATTTAGAATTTACACTACCCAAGAATGCTTCCACATAAGCTTCACTTTTTCTGGCCCAGTGGTTCTTGAGAAGAAGATTTTCAAAGATTTTTCCTATATATTTCTATATAAAACTTTGATTCCCCATTGTGGCCCCGCCCTTCCCCCGGGGGTCATGATTTGAACAATTTAGAATCTACATTATACCAGGATGCTTCCACATAAGTTTCAGCTTTTCTGGCCCAGTGGTTCCTGAGAAGAAGATTTTCAAAGATTTTTCCTATATATTTCTATGTAAAACTTTGATTCCCCATTGTGGCCCCGCCCTTCCCCCAGGGGTCATGATGTGAACAATTTAGAATCTACATTATACCAGGATGCTTCCACATAAGTTTCAGCTTTTCTGGTCCAGTGGTTCTTGAGAAGAAGATTTTCAAAGATTTTTCCTATATCTTTCTATGTAAAACTTTGATACCCCATTGTGGCCCCGTCCTTCCCCCGGGGGTCATGATTTGAACAATTTAGAATCTACACTATACCAGGATGCTTCCACATAAGTTTCAGCTTTTCTGGCCCAGTGGTTCTTGAGAAGAAGATTTTCAAAGATTTTTCCTATATATTTCAATATAAAATTTGATTCCCCATTGTGGCCCCGCTCTTCCCTCGGGGGTCATGATTTGAACAATTTAGAATCTACATTATACCAGGATGCTTCCACACAAGTTTCAGCTTTTCTGGCCCAGTGGTTCTTGAAAAGAAGATTTTCAAAGAACTTTCCAATATATTTCTATGTAAAACTTTGATTCCTCATTGTGGCCCAGCCCTTCCCCCAGGGGTCATGATGTGAACAATTTAGAATCTACACTATACCAGGATGCTTCCAAATAAGTTTCAGCTTTTCTGGCCCAGTGGTTCTTGAGAAGAAGATTTTCAAAGATTTTTCCTATATATTTCTATATAAAACTTTGATTCCCCATTGTGGCCCCGCCCTTCCCCCGGGGGTCATGATTTGAACAATTTAAAATCTACACTACCCCAGGATGCTTCCACATGAGTTTCAGCTTTACTGGCCCAGTGGTTCTTGAGAAGAAGATTTTTTAATGACCCAACCCTATTTTTGTCTCTTCTTGATTATCTCCCCTTGCGAGGGGATATGTCCCTTCATTTTAACAATTTAGATTCCCCTTCACCAAAGGATGCTTTGTACCAAGTTTGGTCAAAATTGGCCCAGTGGTTCTTGAGAAGAAGTCGAAAATGTGAAAAGTTTACAGACGGACAGACAGACAGACAGACAGACGGACAGCTAGACGGACGGACAGACAGACGGACGGACGACGGACAAAATGTGATCAGAAAAGCTCACTTGAGCCTTCGGCTCAGGTGAGCTAAAAAGTAAACCGCTAGTAAAAATGCACACATACTGTGTATATACATGTATATATACAATATGATTCAAGAAAACTCACATTAAAAGCATTAATTAATTGCATTTATTCTGGACTACCTTACAAACAAATCATTACTATATAAAAGTTATTATCGAATTACACATCTGAAATAACAATTAAGCCAACAAATGAAATTAATCTTTAACAATTCAATATGCTGTTTACAACCATACCATGTCTACATTTCAAAATAATAAAGCACATCATGCAATGCATTTGTTGAACACAATTAACTTTTGGTTGTTATAAGGGAGTAGCTTACAAAAGAGGCATAAAAATGTGAATCCACTTGAATTTTCCAGTTCACCCATATCAGACCTGCCTACTTAAAAACAATTGTCATCCATAGTTTTCTATGAAAATTTCCAATATTGATTTGACTTTTATGCAGATTGTCCGCTTTTAATGCTAAATTTATGAGTGAATTTACATTAAACTCAACATTGTGCTCGGAGTACATTCCTTAATACATGTACAATACTCAACACAGACATGATGATATGCTGGCTATGGGCTACACAAGGAGAAATCCATGGTATTACCAGCTTGTCAGATCACTTCTTATGATATAAATGCTTAAGAAACCCCAGAATACAATTGAGAATTGTATTTCAGTACTTAATATATAGATGATTTTTTATCACCCAAGAGTTTTACTGCTTCATTTTTCTAAAAAAACCTTAAAACTGAAAAAGTTTGAAACTCCAAAATTTAGAAGAGTTGGCATTTTTTTTATTAAAATTGTGGAGCGTAATTGGGGAGTCATATACCATAAAAAAATTTGAGTAAATCAAGAGAGTTGCAGTAATGATGGAAAACTCAGAAATAGACCTTTTTAGACCTGAATTTTAACAAAACGGAACTATTGGAGGCACTCCTTCACTTTAACACCAGATTTCCAAATTTGAGAACATTTGTTTGTGTATTTGAAAATATTTCTCATAAAAATGCTCTTAAAAAATCCAACAAAATACAAATTTATGGTAAATGTTTATGAATGATAAAATTACAGGGGTGATTTTATACAAGGATGTCAAAAATAACATAGAATGCTGCCAGTATGCCATATATGTACATAAACATAGTAATTCCGTATCTTAGGATCAATGACGAATCACTGTGTTGGTCAAATAATATGCACATTTCAATGTTATGACATGTATCCAACCATCTAACACATTTCTGCATAAATGGACCCCCTCTCTTTGGAGAATAAATGGACCCCCTCTCTTTGGAGAAGTGTTAATGTTCTGTCGGCTTCTGTTCAGAATTGAGGCAGGTTTATTTACATCACTGATCAGCATCAGCAAACTGGTCATGCTCCATTGGATCTGGATTTCCTTCGTTACCTGGCAAAAAAAAAGGAGAAAGAATACAGTATAACAGGCTTAAAGCCAAAACGCTTATAATGAACTGATGCCTTTAGCGAAATGATTTTTATTCCCCTGCCAACGCTTTAATATTTATTGTGAAATTTATAAATACTTGTATAGGTAATTACACCTTCAACAAAGATAAATAGCCAATTCCTGATATGGTACATGACCTTTGTTTTATGAGTGTTTCACTGTATATTTATATTCAACAAAACCCAAATATGTTATCATGTACGAAACAGACAAAGTAACATACAGTTTAATCAAGGACAAATGTAACTAAAAAGAAATAATTCATTTGGTTATAAAGATCTTGATCTGAATAGCATTAGAGTTGTGATTGCTCTGACCGTTGGTGTTTTGGTGAGTTCCTCCGTCCCCCTGTCCGTTAATCAGTAAGTTCTCCAGATGTTGTAACGTTCTCTGTCCCTCCATTGTCAGGTGCTGCTCCCCCTCCTCCCCCTCATAATAATTGGCATCGTACTCTGAAAAGTAAAAGTATTGAAACCTATCAATTAATTTTTCAAATGATTTATTACCGAATATTATACTGAGTATCTGAAGTCTAAACAAATGATTAGAATACCGTATAACGGATATTTTTTTACGTGCTGCTAATTTTTACGAGTTTTATAAATTCGTAAAATTTAAACGCCTAAAATTTCACAGAAGTAAAAAATGCTTCGCCTAAATTTTCAACATCGTATTACATGTACATGCATGTATGTGAGTATTTCAATGTTATTACGGCCATTTAGTTAAATAAGCACCTGGAGGGTATAGAATTAGTACTGACAACTGTTGTTATTTTTGGGGACTTTTTAATTGATCATCAATTAGGATCAAACAATTAAATCTCAGTGCACAAATTATACAAACATCAATTACCTGGTTACTCTTACAGGACGCATATATCCGATAATGGCTTAATTATTATAGACTGAACTCTTCAAATTATATCTGTTTTTCAAGAATTGAACCCTTTCTTTTTTTTATTTTGCTTCCAATAAAAACTTCGACATTTTACAGTTTTAGCACACTGTAATCCGTGTAACATGTAATTCTGTCAACTTAATCATGAAGGTTTGAGTTATCTCTCTTTGTTTCCACTAAAATGGCACGTGGTGCACAACAATAATTATACTAGACATGTGAATTAATAAAAACAGAATAAATGCAGGGCATGTGAAATATAAAGGTATTTAAATGAATAAACATATCATCATTTCATGAATCGACACTCGTTATCACAGGAACAATTTCGTTTTTATTTTACATTGATCTGGAATTTCACCTCTGGTGATTTTAATTTTTACGGACTTGCTCAATTCATAAAAAATTAAATCACCCTATTTCAACCGAAATTCGTAAAAATTTACAGCAGTACAAATTACCCGTTACATGGTATGTTTAGCTAATGAGTGTGTGATTTTTGTATTTACAAATTCATTACATGTATAACACGGACTAAATTTCTCAATCACTGTAGTATGTCTTTCCGAGATTTGAAATCCATCACTTGGTCAAAGCAACAATCAGAATACCTACCTTCTGCTTCAGAGTCAGTGTCTTGTTCATCTGGATGTAAGGCCTGGCAGTCAGACATAGCATTGAACATGGCATCCACTGTAAAAAAAAAAAAATTATATCAAAAACAGCCACCCAAAACACCATTATACTTCACATATACCATATACTTTTATTATCACCATTGCAAAAATTCATTCATAAATTTATAAGTCTTGACAAAAAAATCAATCATAAAAGGGAAAAAAAAATACAATTTAACAAAGAGGATTGTAATTTTTTTTTAATGGAAATACATCAAATACTTGAAATCTTTCACTAACTTATAAGTCAATAAAGATGGCTGCAGGAGCATACAGGAATAAGCCAAGGAAGTCAATAGGAAAGGATGTAGGAGCATACAGGAACAAGTCAAGTAAGTCAATAGGAAAGGCTGTAGGAGCATACAGGAACAAGTCAAGTAAGTCAATAGGAAAGGCTGTAGGAGCAGTTGTAGGAATAAGTCAAGGAAGTCAATAGGAAAGGCTGCAGGAGCATACAGGAATAAGTCAAGTAAGTCAATAGGAAAGGCTGTAGGAGCAAGGGGTTAGAGTCAAAGGAATCTTTGAGGGTTATTTTAATACAATTTTTTCATATTTTAGAAATTAATTTTTTGCATCAGTTACATCAAAAATAGTCTAAAAATATCCATTTTTTAGCTTGAATCATCTGTTCTTTAAAGTAAATAACTCAATGACTTTTGCTTCATCAATGTCACTTTTTATACTTTTCTCTCCATTATCAAACCATGTTCACCACTTAGGGAAGTCTATCAGCTGTCTTTGTTTATTTACTTACAAGAGCCCTTGTCAGCTGGGACAAATCGGACCTCTGTTGTGGGCGTGTCCCCCTCATAGGGCCCCACCACTTCCTCCTCAGACGAGGATCTCTGACCACACTCTGTGTCTTCTACAAAGTATAAACCACAATATTTACATTTCCAATGTCTTTGTCCGAGATAAAATTACAAATTGTAAATGTACTTTATTTCCCCATCAATGAATTGGCGCAATTAAAAAAAAAACACATGCAGGGCGGAACAAACAGCTATACAAAAGCAGGGCTTGGAGCATGTGGATTGGCCGAATCAAAGCATGTAAATATAAGGAATAACTGTCAGATTTTTCAATTTCATGATGATGATCAATCGATTGGCTTGCATGATAATTTAATGCATAAACGCCTTCAGCGTTTATGCAAATTATCCCGCAACCCAGTTGATTGATCACATCATGAAGTCGAAAAATAAGACAGTTACTCCTTAAATACAGCATCATCAGAGGAACTCAGTCTTCCTTCATTCACCAACACTCTCTACCAATGGCTCACGTATTCACCTTTGACATTGGTTCATAAATTCCCCCCATCATTGGTTCATAAATTACGACCCCTGTTTTTGGTTCATACATTCCCTCTGTCATTGGTTCATACATCCCCCTCTGTAAATAGTTCATACATCCCTCTTTGTCACTGGTTCATACATCCCCCTCTGTCATTGGTTCATAAATCCCCTCTGTCAATGGTTTATACATCCCCCTTTGTCATTGGTTCATACATTCCCCTCTGTCATTGGTTTATACATCCCCCTTTGTCATTGGTTCATATATTCCCATTTGTCATTGGTTCATACATACCCTTTTGTCACTAATTAATACATTCCCCTCTGTCAATGGTTCACACTTTTCCCTCTGTCATTGGTTCATACATTCCCCCTCTGTCATTGGTTCATTATTCCCTGAGTCACTGGTTCATACAGAACAATCATCTTACAGATTTTTATATTGGCTTTTATTCAATTCAATAATAATTTGCTCAATTTCAACAAAATGAAGAATACATGTATTTGTTTTAGACAAAATATTACTAATTTATTTTATCATCCATTACCCTTAAAGAGTTGAATGATCAAAACCGCACAGTTAGCTTAATCAACTTTTCCTAGACAGCAATTATTTGTGGGTATACCGTACAAGTAGAATTTTTAGCGAGGATTTAATTTTGGCATTATTAGCAAGGGTTCCGAGATCGCTTACGTATTATTTGTAATAGCTTCTTCAGTGTGCATTTAAAAATCGCTAATATAACATCTCGCTAAAAATAAATTACCGGTTTTTAAAGACAAATCGCTAAATTTGCGTCTCGCTAAAATTTCCACTTATACTGTATAACATTATGACAGAGCTTTCTACCTGTTAGTTTACCATCCACCATTAAATACAGACACTCCTGTGAAAAAGCTGTCAGGTCTCGGGAGACAGCGTGGAGACTGATAGCTGGATACTGAAGGGAAAATCCCTGTCCACTACTCGTCCTCCACGTCAACAAACTAAAAATAGCAACAGGTATGTAAGCATCAAAATCTCTTCCACATCAAAAATACATTATCACTATACATTGGAATAACTGAGCTAAGGGCTAAATTTGAATGAACTATTTTGAACTACATGTATTACTGGTACATGATTATTTGAAAAATCATATATTATGTTTTCGCTTTCCCAAATGTCTACGCATGGAACATTTTTTTTTATATATATTTTGATAAACCCAGAGACTGAAAAGATCTGTAAACAGTCTATTCATATTGTATGTAATTATATGTAGTTATAACTAAAAATTATTATTCGATAAAATTATCTAAATGGTCAAATGGAAGATAAAATAAAGAAAACAATCCAGCTGGTCATCATTTCAGATAATGGGAAAATAAAGCCAATATCTTTCCTTTAATCTATAGATGCTTTACAACACTAAAGAACTGGGGATGCAAGACAACACAAAAGAACAGGGGATGCTGGACAACACTAAACAACAGGGGATGCTGGACAACACTAAACAACAGGGGATGCTGGACAACACTAAACAACAGGGGATGCTGGACAACACTAAACAACAGGGGATGACTGACAACTCTAAAGAACAGGGGATGCTGGACAACACTAAACAACAGGGGATGCTGGACAACACTAAACAACAGGGGATGCTAGACAACACTAAACAACAGGGGATGCTGGACAACACTAAACAACAGGGGATGCTAGACAGCACTAAACAACAGGGGAAGCTAGACAACACTAAAGAACAGGGGATGCTGGACAACACTAAACAACAGGGGATGATGGACAACACTAAAAAAACAGGGGATGATGGACAACACTAAACAACAGGGGATGCTAGACAACACTAAACAACAGGGGATGCTAGACAATAATGGAGAACAGGGGATGCTAGACCACACTGGAGAACAGGGGATGCTTCACAACACTGAAGAAGAGGGGATGCTAGACAACACTAAACAACAGGGGATGCTTCACAACACCGAAGAACAGGCAAAAATAAAGACCTGCTGGGATAACCATTATATTTCAAAACCAAGATATATTGGGTTTATGGTCTTTGCAGATATTGCTATCAACTAAATTTACGATACAGAGGAATATGAATAGCAAGTTTAGTTATTATACATATCCAGCTATATATATGTATTTAATTTTTGTGAAAATGACTATCGAGAAAATTAACACATCCATTGGGAAAGAAGGTGCCTTTTTTGAATTGGGAATGGGGCCCTTGAACCGCCCCAATAATGGCCAATTATAAACAATCGAGAGTCCTATGATGAAGGAGCCCCCCCCCCCCCCCAACACCACTCACAAACATACACACAGATCATATAAATTTTGCAGGAAAATTAGAAAGGTGGTCAGCATTCCTGTGTTTTTTTGACAACATATTTGTGTAAAGAATTTTTTTACATGTATGATTTGAAAAGCAGCTCACTTAAAAATTGTGAGACATGCAGACGGACAGACAGCTAGACGCCGGAAAAAATTGGATCAGAAAACCCAACTTGAGCTTTCGGCTCCTGTAAGCTTAAAAGTGCACGATTCGACAATTTTCTTTGGTGAGCAAATTCGAACTTCTCTAGTCTAGACCAGATAACAAACAAGTTTACCTTTCAGTTACGTATAATGACCCACTTCCCAGACTCTTATCATCAACAAATGCAACAGTTTCATCTTGAACGTGTCGAACGCCTCCTGTTGGTATATTGATAGCTGTCAGAATCATTTTTACAGTTTTTCACAAAAATATTTATCTTTCAGTTCCAACACACATCATGCACATGGCAGGCAATTTCGTCTACCATACGTACGGGGTTTCCCGTTTTTATTTGAGCCAATCAAATTTGTCGACATATTTTTCACAAGGCGGAATAATATGCAAGACTTACTGTAAATTTATTAAAGACATATTCTTAAATTTATTATATTTACTGGATTCAGTGTTTAAATTAGAATTTTTTCTGTAGTTAAATTTCAAAAATTATTTAATTTTCCCCAGATATGCTATCGTCTACACATCCCAGCCCTGCTGTATCCGGTAGTAATGCGGCTTCTATCTGTCAATACTCAAAGTTCACTGGAACAGGGGTCGTTTGATCAATTTTATCCATCACATAAAGAATTCTATGCCGCCGTCTGAACGATTGAATTCTTTAAATCGCAGTAAATAATAAGGTAGGTAAGTGAGTGTATGGTTCACTGATTTTGTTTGCATAAGATAATCTAAAACATAATGAAAAACTCGGTCTGCTGTACTAAATATTGAAGTGAGGTGTCTACTCGTCACCGACCGTGTTCACACACACATATAATAGTACATGTCCTGTAATATTCTGATTGTTTGAATGGGCTAAAACAGTTAATTATTCCTCTTTAATTATTATATCCTCAATATTTATATCGGATTAATAACGTATCAAGTTTCAGAATTTTTTCTTCTCAAGCAGGACCAAATATTGACAAAATACTTTAGATCTAATGATCAGGCCTATGCTATAATGTATCTGTATCTGTATATATACGTCGAAGTGACCAATACTGGCTTTTCTACGACGGTGAGAGAGCGCGTGTCGGACTTATTGACACAAGCTGTCGAGGGCGGTCTTGAAGGCCTCGACAGACTTAGCGCAAACTATATTGTCCTCCAGTTGGTTCCATTTGATGACTGTGTCCACAAAGAATGATGAGCGGTATTGGTTAGTTTTCGTAGATGTTGTTTCGAGACACTTGCTGTTATTTTTGACTTGAGATGAAAGAATGTTTGTATTTTCACAATTATCGAATGTTTTTAATTTAATTTGGCGTCTAGGCTTAGCTTTTTGAATGAAATTGTGAGTTGGTAGCCCTGGCACCAACCCCTCAACCACCTTATAGAGCATAATATTTTATGCAACACCCAATTTAATGATGATTACACCCCAGAACAAATTTTTCTTGGTTTTTACAGTGAAATCACCTTGTCCTGGGTGAATTCATACAGCTTAGTCAGTCGGTCGATACAAGATTTAACCTCAGCATCCTGGTCATTTTCTGACTTGTCTTTATCTGCAAATATGCCAATATGTGTATATTATATAGTAAAACCGGCTTATGAATTATGATACAGTTCCGGCCACAGAATATTTTGCTTCGCTAAAAGCAAATAATTAATCATATCTGTTAGGTTTAAAGTATATTTTAAAGTGAATGAAAATCACTCTGCAATGTGTCCTTTCTAAAACTGACAAAGTAAAATAGAAGGTGCACAATGGCACTATGTAACAAAGATTCTGTGAAAGTCTCATTGAATTTCATTCAGTGGTATAGGACGAGTTGCAGATAAGAGATGGGTATCCCAAAGTGTACCAGACGAACGGACATACAGCTAGATGGACAGACATCCCAATCATTAACCCCCCCCCCCCCCCACACACACACCTCTTTTCAAGTAAGGGATATATAATAATATGTTGGAGTGAGTTGGAAATACTTAGAAAGGCATGGTATCGGGTTAGTTCGCCCGATCTACCTGTTCGCATTTATTTCCCTTACGAACTTGTATTTTTTTTTTTTTCCCTCAAATTTTGATAAGAAGAACAATGTTTATTTAGTCTTAATTAATCTTTGATTTGATTCTTATGTTTTTTGAATGACTTAGTGTTCTTTATAATTAATGAGATGATTAATATGATTAAATATCAATGTTAATTAGGTGGATACATACATGTTATTTTTACGAATTGCGCTATGTTTTGAAAACAAAAGACTGAGACGTTAATAGGTCCATTATAGAACTGATCAGCGGATGTTGAAGGGATTACCTTTGAAGAATCTCCCTTTGATCTCAGTGTACAAATAATTAGGAAAGAAGTTCATTAAATTTTATTCTACATTAAATAAGGGTGAGCGGACCCTGTGCAAAAAAGTTTTAGGGCGAACGAACATACAACCGAAAGGCATGCATCAATAGCAGATTGAGATAATGTATGAAACTAATGACAGAGGGAATATCAGATATATCATTTATGAAACAAAGCAATCTTTAATTTATAACCAGTAGATAATTTACAAATCAAAACCTTTATCATGTTTATGTAAATTATAAAATAAAAAAAACATGGATAACCAAATGTACATAGTTCATAGTTAAATATAAATAAACAATTCTGCTGGTACATGTATTCACCCCCTCTTTTTTTTTTTTTTAAAAAAGATTTGACCCCCCCCCCCCCCACACACACACACACACACACACACCCTATTCTCTTGCATTTGAAACTTGTAATGATAAGAGTTGCTTGCAACAAAAAAGGAAGTACTAATCAGACATTGCACATCGTGATACATAAGTACATATTCTGTCACTAGAAGATCCTGTTGTCTGGTCAGCTACAGATTCAGGACGTTCATATTTAGTTTGTAGATACTTTTACAAATTATAGTACTACTCACATAATTTGTATCTATTTGAAATTAAAGAAGGATAAGGCAGGGGAAAGGGAATTAAGTTGGAAAGAGGGAACGACTGGATAAGTGCATGGTTTTATGTGACTGAGAATTCATCTGGAGGTAGTTTTTTTCTTTGTCAGAATTTTGGATATATTGATTAATATTGAAATTGTTTAGATAGACCTCAACAGGGTTTTAACAAGGTTTTGTCCTCAGTCATATCAGTCAAGGTTTTGTAACAGGTTCAGCATTACAAGACTGCTGGTCAACAGTTGATGATGTACATCAGGGAAGTAGACTTTTATCTAGTATTTTCAACAACATGTAATCAGGAAGGGGAAGTTGGGGAAACACATCATTGTCTTCTTTTGAATTGGAAATGTTTGTCTGACTGTTTCATATGAATGTTCATATGTAGTGTTTCCTTAAATTTAAATCCTGTTTGTATTAAGAAATAATGCATGTTATTGACATATGGATTTAAAATTTCCTTGTACTTTGTGTATAACTTTTGTCATTCACTGACAAAGGTATTTTATAAGTATATATACATATTGTTGTTGTTCATATACTAATACATTAAAGTTATTTATTCTTTATGTTAAGATTTATTGCAATGAGCTGAAGTGAAATTTTTGTAGTGAATTTTGTAAAATGTTGATCAGAGGCAGATAAAGTTAATGTTTTAAGCTCACATGAGCAAAGATTCATTTAGTGAGATTTTCTCAGGCCATCTTAAAATATAAATGTTTGTTTTCCCTCTGCTGAGTGTAAAAAAAAAAAAATGGGTAGGTAGGTAGTTGGGAAAGTTTTTTTTCCTAGAAATGTCTACATACTAATTTAAATATTGACAGGATGAGAAAATCTAGGAAAAATAAGAAGAAATCATCATTTCCTGTAGGTTAAAAAAAAATTGAGTTTTTTTAGGCAGTCGGTCGGAAGAAGGCAAACAATTTTTTGATGATGGCTGCATAAAGGGTATCTGTCATCTTCTGTCCCTCATCTGTAAACTGCTCACATTTTCTTTTGAGCAATTTCAACCAAACTCGGGATAATGTTGAGCTTGAGCTTGATCATCGTTTGTGTTAATTGCAGACTGTTAAAATGGATCATTTAGAAGTAAGACAAGAAGCATCTCCTTTGAGTTGGTCTATAGTATTAAAATTGAATTGAGTATAGCATGTTAAAGCAGAATAACTAAGCTTATGTTTGGTGATGGTGGAAGGAGATAATTCAAATTGATTTTGCAACAAGTACAAGCTTGTCATAGTTTATAGGCTTCTGCTCTTCACGGTCATGAATCATTTAGCATGAGTACAGGTAATGAATATATGTACAATAGGTGGACAAATGATTCAAAAGGGTCCCATGGCTACATTATAAAAAAATTCCTTATTTTAATATTCTATAAATGAAACAAACCCTTGTTCTTGGAATATAATCATCTTCTTCCAAGAAAATTCATTAATTGATGATTTTCAAAACTGAAAAGCATTGGTTACATCTGCTAGCAAAATTTAGGCTTACACCAGGTACGAGGAATGGTTTATACATATCATGATCTGCTAGCAATGTTAAAGGCTTATATGAGGAATGGTTTATACATATCATGATCTGCCAGCAATGTTAAAGGCTTATATGAGGAATGGTTTATACATATCATGATCTGCTAGCAATGTTAAAGGCTTATATGAGGAATGGTTTATACATATCATGATCTGCCAGCAATGTTAAAGGCTTATATGAACAATGAATTCAGTTACTGGTGAAATGTATGTCTGTCACTTTAAAAGTTTTAGGAAAAATTGAAAGGTTTCAATGAAATATGATGTTTCAAGAGAAAATCTTTCTCATTTCAAAAGGTTGGTTGACTTCCAGGGATTATGGACTTTTTAAAATGTGTCCATGCAAATGAAAATACAGCTACATGTGTAAATACAAAATTCCCTACTGTGATTTAGTACATTATATCATTTCCTTAAATGGCAGATATGAGCCATCAGCCTGCTAAGAACTGCATTTATATAATGTATATCAATACAGCAGTATGGTGGATATTAACAACTATCTATATAGTACCTAGACTTGATTTATATATGAATTTAAACCTGATCCTGACTAAAGCAGTAGATACTTCATTGTTTAGAGCAGAATGGTGAAGTTTTATTGACTGATATATATACCGTATAACAGGCGATTTTTACACAGTGATAATCAATAAGAGAGGATGGATTAAGTATTGATAAAGTCGGACCAGGGTTCGTCATAGACCTTATAATGGAGAACAGATGGGGCTCAGGTTTTCACAGGTCAAAGGTCACAAAGAATCCAGTATAATACAGATGTTTTCTATAGAGGAGGATGAATCTTTTAACTCTGTAAACCATGTGTACACTAGATAGTGGATATATAGCCCTGTTTTTATTACAGTAGGTTCTATTAGGTTTATAATGAAGAAGGTGGTTATTATAGTGTTCCCTGTGTGATATAAAACCTACTTTAATTACCCCTGACCACGTGAGGCTGATCAGATTGTGACTGGACTACTTAGTGTATTGATTGGACTAAGTTTGATATAGGAATATAATGGGTGCTCAGCTTGATGTATAGGTACTCTGTATCTTAATATTACTTTTATAGTTTGATACTATATTAATATAGGAAGTAATCCAATTTTCTGGATAGCTGGATAAAAAATGGATAGCTGCTATTTCCTATATTAATAATTATTGATAATACATGTGTATTTTGATTTATATTTGAAATTATTTTTTTTTTCAGTTTGCATGCTTATGTGGAGTAATTGATGCTTTAATACAGCGAAGTGATTTTCATTCACATTGGCTTTAAACTATATTGTTTAATACTTACAGATAGAAGAATCAAATTTACAGTTTTAATGAAGCAAAATCATCTGTCGACCCCTGGCACTTCTTTATTAGCTTATTAATTAGCATATTTTGCTGTATAAGGTTTCAATGGGTTTTTTAAAAGCAGAATTATAATGTTTATAAAGTGATGGTCTAAGTCCCAAAGAGAATTAAGTTTGCTAATGTTTCATTATGTGCTGTAAATTATATGTAGATGAAAATTTGAATATTTTATGATCCTATTCACTATAGTGTGGGTGTAAACTTTATGGTTCAGATATAATTAATAGAGATGGAGTGCTCTTGTTAATGATTAATGAAAGCAGAACTGAATCAATACTTGTATATACACTGTATATACAGCTCTATGATATTAGGAGAAAAGAGTTTATTTTGTTTTTATCTTTAATATTTAGACTTTTCTCTGTTATTTGATGATTTTTACGAAGTGTATTAGTGCCACTTGCACACTTTACTTTTTTTTAATTACGACACTTTAATCTGTAAAATTTACAGATTAAAGTGTAAATTTTACACTTTAATCTGTAAATTTTACACATTAATCTGTAAATTTTACAGATTAATCTGTAAAATTTACACCTTAAAGTGTAAATTTTACACTTTAATCTGTAAATTTTACACTTTTATCTGTAAATTATACACTTTAATCTGTAAATTTTACACTTTGATCTTTAAAATTTACACTTTAATCTGTAAATTTTACACTTTAATCTGTAAATTTTACACATTAATCTGTAAAATTTACACTTTAATCTGTAAATTATACAGATTATTCAGTAAATTTTACACTTTAAAGTGTAAATTTTACACTTTAATCTGTAAATTTTACACTTTAATCTGTAAATTTTACACTTTAAAGTGTGAATTTTACACATTAATCTGTAAAATTTGCACTTTAATCTGTAAATTATACACTTTAAAGTGTAAATTTTACACATTAATCTGTAAAATTTACACTTTAATCTGTAAATTATACACTTCAATCTGTAAATTTTACACTTTAATCTGTAAAATTTATACTTTATTTGTTTATTCACATAGTCAATTTAGCATCTTCACACATCCTCAGTAACACATTTGTAAGCCAATAAAATGTTAGTTTAAGCAAATTTTCTGAATTGATAGGATTTATAGATTATATCACAATTGTGTCATCCATATATTATTTATGTGAAAAAAGTCTAACAGGCCCTGGAATCTATATATGGGGGGGGGGGGGGGGGATAGGGGTCCTCAAGCACCTGTGATCGGGAATATGTGCATGTATGTTTGATATGCTCTTCACTTTATATTCAAAGAAAAGTTTTACTTTAATATAAAACATCAGAATTAAATTTTATCATGCACGAAACATGGTCTGTTGGCTTAAAAATGTGTTACTGAGGATGTGTGAAGTTGCTAAATTGACTATGTGAATTAACAAATAAAGTGTAAAATTTATACTTTAAAGTGTAAAATTTACAGATTAAAATGTAAAATTTACAGATTAAAGTGTAAAATTTACAGATTAAAGTGTAAATTTTACAGATTAAAGTGTAAATTTTACAGATTAAAGTGTAAAATTTACACTTTAAAGTGTAAAATTTACAGATTAAAGTGTAAATTTTACATTTTAACCTGTAAAGAGCAAGAGCCATCTTATGCATAAAATGGCCCTGTACTTATATCAATTAATTAACTATCACCCTCTTTCCCATTTCATATATCAAAATAAAGTAGACACTTGGTGCTTTCATTTTCTATAATAAAATTTCGTTTTGAGAATCCAGATATTAGAAAACAGGTTTGAGAAATTGCAATGTTCTTGAAATTTGCAGAAAACATGCGTATTTGACCACCTTCAGCAAAGAATTAAAATATGAGCACAGCCCACGATCCAAAAAATAGAACATGTTTTTTGATCTTCAGAAACAGATCTTTCATTATGTATTTGCATATTTTGGATCAGAGGTTGTGCTCTATGTGAAATATTGAAAAAATGCTTCAACTTTAGGTCATTTTCAAAGGAATTTACAGGATATGAGGAAAATGACGCATTTTATGACGTCATAATGCATTGACTAGATGGGAAATTACGTCACGATTAATAGATACGTGGTCACCAACACCCTAATATACTGCATTTGCAACCTAAACTGATCGGTTTTGATTTATCAGAAATTCTCAGGGCCTAGTAAGGCCCAAAGTGGCTCTTGCTCTTTTACAGATTAAAGTGTAAATTTTACAGATTAAAGTGCAAATTTTACACATTAAAGTGTAAAATTTACACTTTAACATGTAAAATTTACAGATTAAAGTGTAAATTTTACACTTTAAAGTGTAAAATTTACAGATTAAAGTGTAAAATTTACAGATTAAAATGTAAAATTTGCAGATTAAAGTGTAAAATTTACAGATTAAAGTGTAAATTTTACACTTTAAAGAGTAAATTTTACAGATTCAAGTGTAAAATTTACACTTTAAAGTGTAAAATTTACAGATTAAAGTGTAAATTTTACAGATTAAAGTGTAAATTTTACAGATTAAAGTGTAAAATTTACACTTTAAAGTGTAAAATTTACACTTTAAAGTGTAAAATTTACAGATTAAAGTGTAAATTTTACAGATTAAAGTGTAAAATTTACAGATTAAAGTGTTGAAATTAAAAAAAAGTGAAGTGTCCAAGTGGCACTAATACACTTCCGTAGATTTTCATATGCTCCAAATTTGGAGATTTTCTTTTTAATTTGTTATATATAGATAATCGTTATTCAGAAAATCTGTTGGATACAGGATTTTTTAAAGCTGGACATTTATTGTTTATCATTTTATTTTTATTAATAAATTTAGTAACTTAAAAAATATATATTTAAAAAAAAAAATGGAAGAAGCAAACATATTTTATGAAATAAATATCCATCACCTATGTAAATAAACATTTTAACCTCCTCCCCCTTTTAAAAAAATCTTACAGCACTATAGTTATGGATTTGAAAAAAATTAATACGTACAATATAATTGATATGACCAAAAAAAAAAAACAGTGAATGTTATTGCAATGTCTGAAGAGAAATGCTCAAATCAAAGCTGAACATGTGAAAAATTGTCATTTAATCTTATAGGTTTATATTTAGCCAGATAATATTAACATTTTCACTGTGCTTTCTTGCTCATGTCATTTGATATTTAGATATTTCACCCATATTGAGAGGTAGTCTGGATCATATTTTTACAGGTGAATGCGTGCATGTTTGTGAGCACAACAGATTCATGACATGAAGATTTGGCAAGCTATGAAACTTGGTAAGTCTTGTACATTTCTTTCAGAATTTAGTTTTTGAGGGTTGAGACATAACAGTTATATTTTATAGGTATATAATAGATAAAGTTTGTTTGTGAAGGGTGTTGATGTTTCCTTATGACAAACTAAAATTTAAGAGGAAATAACACATGAATAAGGAACTACCTTCTCTCTAATACATTTAGACTAAGTGAGCTTTAGTCCTATTTACTACAGTGGACCCTCAGATATCCGGACGCCAGATATCCGGATGCTTCAGTATCCAGACGACTTTTCTTCAGAACAGAATTTTTTATTGTTATTTATTCTTGTTTAACTGTTAATTCAGATATCCGGACACTTCACATATCCGGACAAATTGACTAGGACCAAAGCGTCCGGATAAATGAGGCTCCACTGTATATCAGAATCATACAATTACTGTCTCCTCGTAAATTTCAATACCTTTTATACATTTCATTGAAATAAAAACTCCCAGTGTTACTAGCAAAACCTATCATATACCTTCATCACCTGCATACAGGGTTTATATCTCTTAGTTGATTTGATATGCAAGAGCATATTGCTCTACATATGAACAATTTTTTAAATGAGGTAAGTTTTTGACAAACATTCAAGTTGATGAAACAAGAATATTAGCAGTCTTGTTTAAAGTCATCAATTGTAAGTTCTATGGTTGATACAATGGCCTTGTCAGCAAATACAATTAATCATTAAGTCAAATGCTGACTGAGTTTTTCATAATCATACTAATCGTTAGGCAATTACATGTATATACAAATTGTGGACAGATTTTTCCATTATTTCTCGATCATGACAAGGAGCACACGGCAGGTGTGAGAGGTCAGCATGGGGATGCTCACTCCTCCATGGTACCTGATCCCACCTCAGATGTTTTAGAGGTCTTTGTTCGCTCTGCTCTATTTTTTTATCATTTGATGATTTTGAGCTTAAATGCTATTCATTTTCTCCATATATTTCATTCCATATCTTGATATGATTTTTATAGAAGTTGCAACAGTATAATTGAATCAGAATAAGTAGATCAATTTATTAGACAGAATCCAAATCAGTAAAAAATGTGAGTTAATGACCATCAATCTTTTTAAGAGGAGCTCAATATTAATTATGTTGACTTTTCCTGTATAGATAATATTGACCTTTTTTTATTGAATACATGTATATAAAAGCATTTTATTAGGTCACCTGAGTAAACTCAGGTGACCTATTGCTATCCGTTTTCGTCCGTCGTCGTGCGTCGTTCGTCGTGCGTCGTTCGTCGTGCGTTAACATTTGAACATTTTCAGCTTCTTCTCTGCAACCACTGATCCAATTTCAACCAAATTTGGCACAAAGCATCTATGGGTGAAGGGAAACAAAAATTGTGAATTTCATGATCCCTGCCCCCCTGGGGCCTGAGGGGTGGGGCCAAAACCACTAAAATTAATGCAATCTTTAAAAATCTTCTTCTTTACTCCTGGACATCAAGCAGTCAAACTGTTTATATGATTGTAATCAGCAATGAGTCCTCTACCAAAATTGTGAAATTCATGGCCCTGGGGTCAGGGGTTCTAGTGCTAGGGCGGGGCTAAATAAGTAGGTAGTGAAAATGCATTATTTCTTTGAAAATCTTCTTCTCTGCTCCTGGATATTAAATAAACCAACTAAGTACATAGTTATTATGAGCAAGAGTGCCTCTACCAAAATTGTGAATTTTATGGCCCCAGGGTCAGGGGTTCTGGTGTTAGGGTGGGGCTCTATTGATTATGTAGTGATAATACATGAATTATTTGATAATCTTCTTCTCTGCTCCTGGGTATTAAATAAACTAACTAAGTACATAGTTATGATGAGCAAGAGTGCCTCTACCAAAATTGTGAATTTTATGGCCCCAGGGGCAGGGGTTCTTGTTTTAGGGTGGGGCTCTAATGATTATACAGTGAAATGCATGAATTCTTTGAACATCTTATCCTTTGCTCCTACTAATGATCTAATTACATATTTAAGGCTAGGATTTTATTTTCAGTTTTACAAACCCTCAATTCAAGGTTTTGAATTTTCAGAAAAAATAAAACAATTTTTTTCTTTCCGATGTCAAATTTGAGTCGGGATCGAGATTTCAAATTAACGAACTCGCACTTCCGGTTTTAAGATGAAACGGCGGGTAAATGAAGATAGCTTGGTTTAGTGTAAAATTCATCGATACGAGTGACATTCAAAACGTTTCACCCGTTCAAAGGACAAATAAAATGCTGACGACTTTGTTGCACAATGACATGCTGGTGAGATAATTATGTATTCGTTTCAAAAGTATCTGTCGGTAAATTATTTTCCTCCCCAAGGTTTTAAACTGCCCGTGGTAGCTATTGCATATTGCCAGCGACATTGTTTAGGTCTCTGTTATAGCTTACAGTCTAAGCATCATGTGTCCAGTGGTAAGGAGCCTATTAGAATAGCAAAATGTACAAATGTTAATAATTGATTTATCCAAATTTTTTTTTATTTCCTTCTCCTTTGGGACTTTTTTATTCTCATGTTCATAACTAAACCTACACATAAAAAAAATGCTGGCCTTATAATGAAGAAAGGGGCCTCTTTCAAAATAGATAATTTCAGGGCCCCTGGGTCAGGGGTACCAGGGGGGTACTTTGACTAAAAATAAATTAATGCTTTGAAATCTGCCCTTTGATAAGCAATGGTGCCTCTTTCAAAATTTGTGAATTTCATGGCTTTTGGATTAAAACACGAAGCAAATACAATCGCTGGAAACTTGTTACATGATACTCAGGTGACCTATAAGGCCCGTGGGCCTCTTGTTTGTTTTACATTTAATAGACACTAATTAGTCCAGCCTTTTTTTTCATAGCCATACTAAGGATAGGTTAAATTAATATCTGATAAAAAACTTTTTATCTTCAACATTAAAATTTGTTAACAAATTGTTTTTTTCTCAATAACATGTATTTCTAGTAAATAATAATAAAACGTGTAATGTTCTTTCAGTAGATTGTCTATGACATCTAGTGTTAGGAAAGCTATGGAGGAGCCAGGAAACACCACAGGGCTGTTTGCCTGGGCATACAGTGGCGTGAACTTTGACCTGGCTGGAAATGGGGGTGTGGAGTGTAGGGACTTTATCAGTGTTAAACAGAGAATTGTAGAGACTGTGATCAGCTGTACTGCGGCAGGACTGATTCTGTACGGCGCCGTCACTCGACTAACTCTTCCTAAAAACCCTGTCATCAAACCAGACCCTGTGGGAAAACGAATTCTTTTGGTAGTGCATTGCTTGATATTTGGTATCGAGCTGGGCTTTAAATTAGCTACTAAGCAAATGATTTATATTCTTAATCCATGTCATGTGGCAACAATGATGCAGGTGAGAAAAATAAAGTCACTTTTGGCACCGTTCCCCATGTGTTTGTAACGAGTAAGATAAAACACATCTGTTCGGTACAAATACTTTATCTAAACTAAACACAGTTATTTACATGGTAACAATATACAATACAAAGCAGTCAATGATGTCATTACTATTATGACGTCATCACGATTGTGACGTCATAACCCAGGAATGTACACTGCACATTACATAGTATAAGTTAATTGTTATAGAATTTATAACATCCTCTGCAGGGCACGATGATTTTTCGGACAAAAGTTTTCGTCAACTGTTCTCGGATCGTTTTATCGACACAATCATTTCTCCGGGCCACGAAAAAATTGCCTCTCTATTCACTCTAATGTACGAAGTACTCCTTGATAAACGCATTTTTCTCTAGCATGATTTTGCTCCCTAAGCAGATCAATTTGATGATCCATAATTGTCATCTTCCTCTTCATCTCGGTGATTTCATCCTGTAATTCGATGAGATTTTTGCTGCATGTCCCCTGGACATCTCTGAAAGACTTGTACATGTTCTGTTGTTGTCTGATTTCGGTGTCATCCTCAGAAATCTTCTTGTCAACAATCTGCATGCTATGGACTTTATCTTTTCCGTAATTCTGAGTTAGATTGTTGGCCTCATTGGTGTAGCGGTTTCCTTCCTTTTCCAGTCGGTAGATGATGTTCATTTTTTCTAGGATCTCGTCTATGTAATTCTGTTTCCGGTTATTCTTATGAACGTTACCTTGTTTCTTGGATACCTCTGACTTCCTCCTCATACCAGTAATTTGATCTCCTGGAGTTTCTCTATGCTTCTCTACATGTGAATGAATATTTTCTCCCACTTGCTGAAATTTCCTTTGCGACGTCTCTCTTGACGATTTTAGTCGCGGTATCTCCTGTTTGAGCATATAATAACTTCAAATTCTTTTTTCTTGAATTCCGTTACTTGAGTTTGGTTCTCAGCAGTCAACTGATTCGTGGCAATTAACTGTGCATCATATTCGGACTGAAGCTTTGCAAATCGGTTATGCAAAAAGTTAACATCCTTCATCGTTTTCTCAGTCAAGGTCTTCTGTTCTTTTACCTGCTGTTCTAATTTAGAAATGTCGCTTTTATAGTTCTCTATGTGGTCCTGTAGATTCTTGATTTTTCTAGTCTTAGCTTGTAATGTAGAGGTAATCTCCGTTTTGGTTGTGACGGCATTATGAACAGTGCACAAACTTGTATGGTGACGTCTTTTACAAGTTTTACAGTTGAATTTAGATTTACATTCTGAGACAAGATGTCTGCCTAAACAATTAAAACACAGTTTGTCACGTCTGACAATTTTCATCCGGTCGTTGTGTTTTGTGTATTTAGCACAACCACTTGAAAGATGTGACTTTTTGCAAAATGCACAACAAACTTGATGATTCCGAGGAATGCAGTTCCGTTGGGGTTGCTCATCAATGGATTCAGAGTATTTGTAGAAAATACCCGTAACTGTTGCACTTTCTTCTGTTGGGTCCAAATGTGTTCCTGCTTCTCTTATCTCAAGTTCCTTGTTCAGAGCCTTTGTATGAAAATTTCCCATTCTCTGAAATGTCGAGTCACTATACGGCATTGGCACAGGAACATGCTCATGTACAGGTGGGATAGGATAACTAAGGACTGTTGTATGATCAGTTGGAATTTGATTTACTTCAAGAGGATTTAATACGACACATTCATCTTTTGACTTGTGAGAATCTTTCTCCCCAGCTGCATGAATAAAATTTTTGTCAATGAACTCTTTAAATCGCCTCAGTCTTATGTCTAACTCTGTATTATATTCATCTGTCTCAATGATTTCATTCTCGATCTCCTCCTCAGCTGTCTGACTCAGGATTTGCTCATCCAAATTATCCAGTAGACTTCTCTTCTTCCTCAAGTCCTCGTAAACTAACAAGAAAACTTCTTTGGAACATTCTTCAGATCCTTCATATCTATTTAATTTCCTCGAAACAACGCTTCTGTTTCCAGCCCTGGTGGCTTTCAGTTTTCGTAATTCCATTTTCTGCTAAAGTTTAGTCACGGTCTGGTCACGGCACCAAAATGTAACGAGTAAGATAAAACACATCTGTTCGGTACAAATACTTTATCTAAACTAAACACAGTTATTTACATGGTAACAATATACAATACAAAGTACTCAATGATGTCATTACTATTATGACGTCAGCACGATTGTGACGTCATAACCCAGGAATGTACACTGTACAATACATGGTATAAGTTAATTGTTATAGAATTTATAACAGTGTTTTCGAGGAATACCGTATACTTGGGTATACGTTTTCGTGGATTTTTTATTTTTAGGAATAATCGCACAATGCGAGATCGAAATGACGTCATATTTACTATTAATAAAGGGGAACCCTGTGTATGTTTTATGACCAAATGTTAATTAAACCTATTTTAGCCAAAATAAAATATAGCGAGTGAGTTGATGCATATTTTGGAAATTTGACAATTAGAGTAATATATGCTTATTTGTCATGTTTTGAACTAGAAAACCAAACTTACACATCAATAGCCGCGATCCTGCGTATCATCGTCTGTTAACTATCCATACAGCTACCGGTCATGTGACAATAATTTGGAATTTCCCACTTTTGATATTTTTTCTACGGTGATCTAGTGACACATTTTTATATAATTTTCAAAGAAAATATTGGGGGTGTTAAGAAGTTATATGATAAAAAGATATTGTGCCATTGATAATCAATTGAAATAAACATTTAATTTCTTTAAATATACATGGAATTTATATTTTAAAACATGAAACATTCAAATAAAGCTTTTCAAAATTACTTCTAGCCAACTCTTGAGAAAGAGAATTTTTTTTACATTATTTAGCAATACAGCTTAGGCACGCCTAGATAGATGTCGTCTTAATTAACAACAAATAAATTTCCATGTCAAATAATGTAATCATTTTGTCAATCAACTAGTGTTTTTGACACTGTAAAATTTATAAGGATTTTCCCCAACTAGATTTCCATAGTTTACTTGTTTTATAAATACCACGAAAACATGATGTCAGAAAAAAAATCAAAAGAGCAACTATGCGAGAATTCAATGACCTTCTGAACAAATAACAAATGATATGTGATTTAAAATCATGCCACGAAAACTCGTGATTCAAGGGTATAAAAAATCTGTAGAAATCTATGCAAGACACTTTCCTCATAAAATGTATTAAAAGAGCTTTAATTGCTTAAGGAAATATATAGAAATCTATGCAAGACATTTTCTTCATAAAAATACACCCATATCTATAGAAATTTATTTTACAGTTTAGTGACTCAAAACTTTTCTTTTAATTTCTTGTTGTATTTTCCCCCCAGATTTTTTGCTTGGCAGCACCGCCAGGACGATTAGCAACATCAGTGTTCCGAATTCAACTACACATGTTAACAGGGGCACCCATTGCTATACTTTTTCCTGTTATAAATACTCGATTGGTAAGGTTTTCTTATAGTTTGGAAATTAATTGATCATAAAAAATACAAACTTATAAGTGTCCTAACTGTGCTTAAGCTAGCTTGTCAAACATTTTAGAATTCAAAGTATTGTTCTTGATTCCTAAATTTTAAAACTGTAGAGCATAAAGTATATATAGAAGGATTGGAATTATTTTATAATATAGTCATACAAATAAACACATTTTTCATTACAGTCCTCCTTTGTAATAAATACTCACAAATCATTATTGAATTTTACAGTTGCCATTTGAGACAGAAGTATACTATATACAACATTTGCTGATGCTAGTCATTCCATTCTACTTACTCAAAATCAGAGGTACACTATAATAATGCAATTAACTTTTACCATAGTAAATTGATAATATTAATAGATTTTTAAAAATTTTTATGTAAACTTGTTGTTTGACTTTTGATTTAGGTTCTTATACTGCTGAGCCTGTGTTAGACTTTAGCTGGGCTTTAGTATCTATGGGAGTCCTATACATCATATACTTTGTACCAGTGCAGTACCTGGCCTATGTACGTACTTTACTCATAGTTTTGTTTTCATGTTACACTGTTATTTCCATCTTCCTTTTTTTTTTAGCTTTTCCCCAGAATCTCCTGTATTGGAATATTTGGGTGGGAGGTGGTTTTTTTTTTTTTTTTTTTTTTTTGTTTTGTTTTTTTGTTTTTTTGAAGTAATTGTGGCATTAAAAAACTTTGAAGGTTTATTAAAAATATTATTTTCATGGGACATATTTTTTAGAAGGAAATGTAAATTTATTATTGTTATATGCCCCTTTCAAAGAAGGGAAGGCATACTACTTTTCTGCTATCAGTTGGTTGGTTTGTCTGTAGGTCCACCAACAGTTTATGTTGATTTTCTTTGCATATAAGGTTGCACATACTGAAATGAAATTTGGTATACAAAATTAATCTAAGTCAGGCACTTATTTGGGTATGAGTGAGCAATTTTTGACAGGGTTATGTCCCTTGGACTAAGTGCATGAATGGGACAGGGGTTCAATATTTCACAAACATATCATTACTTAATGGCCATATTTGGAAAAAAATTAATCAAGCATATGACATTTTAAAAAGAAATCTACTCACTTTTCAGAAATATTAAATGAATATTTTCTTCAAATTTGAGAAGACAAAGCCTGAAAATGTACAACAATCATATAAAACATCTTTCCAATCAATTTTTTAATTTCTAAAAATTCAAAATTAAATTTTTCAGATATCAAAGGTGAATCTGAATAACATGCTTTGTCCAGCAGTTTCAGATCCATTTTATGGACCATATTATCGAATCTGTGCAATGACGCATCAAGGACTTCTCATACCAACTCTGGGCAAGTTTTACACGTGGCTCTCAAACAAATTCCTCCGATCTTCAGTAAAGGTGGAAGAGGAGTTGGTATTTAAGATTGACTGGGTCCTGGAACCGCCGCCTATTGACAATCTCACCGGCAAGAACGGTGTCATCAGTCACCAGGACCATCAACCCAACCCCAATAATGGACATCTAAAGTCCTCCTGAAACAAAACTAGCTTTAATTCTACAAAAAAGACTTTCCTCTGTGTCAATATTTCATTATTTTAGATTTAGTAATATCTGTGAATAGATGTGTTTCACAAAAGTGGAAAATACCTGTCCTTTTTAACTAATGATATAATTTTGCGTTAGGTCAAAAAAATTAATTAATAGTTTCTGAGGCACCGCCACATCAGTTCAAAAATGGCCGCATTGATCAATTTTGTTGACATATTGAAAAGGGGAATAACTTATTTTTCTAAGTTGAAAAAGAAAATTGAGTTATCCCCCTTTTCAGAAATGCTGAGATAGACGTTTTTATTGGAAAAACAATATAAATTTCTTCTAAATTTAAAATATTTAAGAAATAAGGTATCATTTTTAAACATCTATCGGGCTATAAATACGGGTTGGTCACGAGATTAAATTGCATAAAGCCCTTCATGATGAATTTAATCTTGTACCAACTCGTATTTATATCCCGAAAGATCAGTTTTAAAATGATACCTTATTACTTATATTTACATTTGTGACTGTTTCATACTTTACATTTGCCTGATTGTGACTTTTAACGTGTGAAATGCATTATTTTTCAAACTCAACGGCAAGTATGTAATCCACTGAACGCGCGTCGACCCTTTATGACGTCACTGAGAAATTACGTCAAACGATTATCCATACGCACATTTATGACCTCTTGACCCCGTACCTGTATTTATACAGTTATAGATACGCATTCCTTTTAGTAGTGTTATATAAAGGAAAGCATTTGCAGATGTAAATATTTATGAATTAACTTTTTGAATAAATGTTTAGAAGTTCATTATTTAAAGTTGAATATTTTTTATTACTAATTTCAAAAATTAAGAACTAGTAGAAATCATCATTTTATTGAACAAATGGCTTTAAAAAAGATGTAAAACCTGCTTTAAAAAAAAAGCCTGCCTGCCACTTTGAATTTTGAATTTTTTTGGCCTGAGAAACTATTAATTAATTTTTTTGGCCTTACTTATAGATGCATGAATTGGGCAACTAATATCCATTTTTTACTGTTTTTATTTTTACTGATTTGAAGGTTAACAATACAGAATATCTTGTGATAATGTTTTTAAGGTTCACACATCTGTGATCAAAAACTAGAGATCCTGTTTAGATATATTACTGTTTTGTATTGCTTTAGTGCTTTAACAGGAATCTGGAAAGGAAACGATTTAATAAATATTTTGACTTGTTAAGTTCAGTATTCTATAGTGCTTGACCCCAAATTTGACATCTTTTTGAAGTCCCAAAGAAATGTCTATAGTAAATTCTTTAGAGATGCACAATTTACTAGAGAATTATTTTGCAAATACTGGGTGAAGTCAATGCAATTAATAAATGGAAGATACTTTCACCTCCTCTTTAAAGAAAAAAAAAAAAACAGAAAACCAAGTCATCGTTTCTTAGTTTCATTGTTTTCACCCTCTTTATTAGACTGTGCTTCAATTTAATTGTGTATTTGGGCATAATTTACATGTATGTAGAGTAATATTCAGTTTATTTCACTATAGAAAGTGGAAAATATTTTCAGTATTACATATTGTAGAAATAATATGAGTTTACACTTGCACATTTCTTTAGATTCTCCCCCGACAGAATGATATATTTTACCGTATATTTGTATGAATTATTTGACATGGCATGTATGTTCTGATTTATGAATTCAAAGGATACCATTAATATACATTCAAAACTAATACTAATAATAATGATTAACTGAATACATGTATATTTTGCATAGCCTTTGAACTAAATACCAAAGCAGGATATTAAAATTAATTGATTTTTTTTTCAATTTGTTTACCTTCTGGAAGAAGAAAAGAATAAGGCTTACATGCAGTAGCAACTTTTATTTATGAAACAGCATTAATTAAAGAACTTAGATCTGTTCAGTATTGTGCAATAAGTAGAATTAGCGACCTAGCTTGCCTATTTTGAATCATTTGTTCATTTTTTCTGTGAAAAAGGTTTTATCTCTGTCATGATTTTTCAAAAAAAAAAAAATGTTTAATCACAAAAGTCGTTCTGTATAAAGAAACATTCCATCATACTGTCATTGGGTAAATTAGGATCCCCATTTTTAAAAAATTTTTTTTAAAATATTTTGGATCAAATGTTCTGTTTTCAATACAATAGGCAACACGCAATTCCCCTTTAGATTCACATGGTCTGGATTAACAGTGTTCTAAGGGTTGTTTTTTTTTTTATACATCTGACTAGTCTTTAACAGCATATACTATGATTTCATCAATTTTCGCTGGGATCAATTTTTGTGGATTTTGTAAAACAGACGTTTAAGAGGATACGTAATTTCGTGGACAAAAGCATTGCCTTCACAAATGAGTTACAGATTTCTTAATTCAATGAACATTGGATTTCGTGGATCTGCTCAACAACGAAATCCTCGAAAATTGGTGCTCAACGAATATTGATGAAACCACAGTAAGTTACTTGAATTTGAGATTATAGATAAATCAAAGAAATGTTTTTAATGTTTTGGTAGAGAATGTTTTTTGTTGCAATCTGCTTTCAGTCATTTGTAGATCAGTTTATTTAACCAGATTTTATTGTATTTTTAAATATACGTCTTTAACCTCGTATTTAAATGTATACATACTAGTATATTTAACCCAAAATTCACGCAATGAAGGTAAAATAATTTCATTGTATTTAAAAGTGATTGTTAGTAGAAGTTTTCATTGAGAAAAATTTAAAAATGAGATTAAAACCAAGTTTTGGTTTTTGTTTTTCAATATTTAGTGATTTGAGCATAATTTCAATTTGTTTTAATTATTTCTGTTGTCTGTGATTTTAATAAATCATTAAATCTATAGTCTACTTGTGTTTTATCTAAGAAATGGGTAATACAATGTTTTTTAGTTTTATTTGGATGTAAAATGGGTTGATCACGTGATCAAATCTCATAAAGCCCAAAACACCTGTAGTAGAATCTTTCGCAAACAAATTTTTTTTATAAATATAATCAAGACAAGTTTGGCTTTCCAGAAAGCCTAAAATGTCATCTCTTTGGCTTCATTTATGTCACAGAATAAACAGTAGAGTGTAACTTTTTCTCAGCTATTACAGATTTTTCTATTCCTCAAGGGAAAGGAGTGGCAATTTACCTGAACGATTTTAGATTAGGAAAAAAAGTAATGATCAAACTACAAAATCCTATGTTGTGGATAGGAAGGAAATATTTTAACAAATTTATTTTGGTAGTACATAACTGTACTCCAACAAACAGTGTGGATAAGGGAGCGTGCTGTGAAAAATTACAACGATAGATAGGACACCGATTTCTTAAATTATCCTAATAATATCACGATTCATATGTTGCTAAAGCTTTTCACACTGAAATATACTAAAATAATGTTTTTAAAAAGCCTCTTTTATTTGGAAATTATCAAAACTACAAAGTTTTGGACACGTTTCATTGACATATATCTTGCAGTTTTACAAAGTAAACTTAATCATGGATCGCTACTCGGATAAGAGAGAATGAAAAAAAGTGTCTATTATCCCTTTATTATGTTCCCCAAACGGAGTTTGGGAACATATTGTTTTTACTCGGTTTCTTCTTATTATTATTATTATTATTCTTTTTAGCTCACCTGAGCCGAAGGCTCAAGTGAGCTTTTCTGATCACATTTTGTCCGTCGTCCGTCCGTCTGTCTGTCCGTCTGTCCGTCTGTCTGTCCGTCTGTCCGTCTGTAAACTTTTCACATTTTCGACTTCTTCTCAAGAACCACTGGGCCAATTTTGACCAAACTTGGTACAAAGCATCCTTGGGTAAAGGGGAATTTAAATTGTTAAAATGAAGGGACATATCCCCTCGCAAGGGGAGATAATCAAGAAAAGACAAAAATAGGGTGGGGTCATTAAAAAATCTTCTTCTCAAGAACCACTGGGCCAGAAAAGCTGAAACTTATATGGAAGCATCCTGGTATAGTGTAGATTCTAAATTGTTCAAATCATGACCCCCGGGGGAAGGGTGGGGCCACAATGGGGAATCAAAGTTTTATATAGAAATATATAGGAAAAATCTTTGAAAATCTTCTTCTCAAGAACCACTGGGCATGAAAAGCTGAAACTTATGTGGAAGCATCCTGGTATAGTGTAGATTCTAAATTGTTCAAATCATGACCCCCGGGGGAAGGGCGGGTCCACAATGGGGAATCAAAGTTTTATATAGAAATATATAGGAAAAATCTTTGAAAATCTTCTTCTCAAGAACCACTGGGCCAGAAAAGCTGAAACTTATGTGGAAGCATCCTGGTATAGTGTAGATTCAAATTTGTTCAAATCATAACCCCTGGGGGTGGGGCAGGGCCACAACTGAGGATCAAAGTTTTACATAGGAATATATAGGAAAAATCTTTTAAAATCTTCTTCTCAAGAACCATTGGGCCAGGAAAGCTGAAACTTATATGGAAGCATCCTGGTATAGTGTTGATTCTAAATTGTTCAAATCATGACCCCCGGGGGAAGGGCGGGTCCACAATGGGGAATCAAAGTTTTATATAGAAATATATAGGAAAAATCTTTGAAAATCTTCTTCTCAAGAACCACTGGGCCAGAAAAAGTGAAGCTTATGTGGAAGCATTCTGGGGTAGTGTAAATTCTAAATTGTAGGAATCATGACCCCTGGGGGAAGGGCGGGGACATTATAGGGAATCAAAGTTTTACATAGAAATATATAGGAAAAATCTTTGAAAATCTTCTTCTCAGGAACCACTGGGCCAAAAAAGCTGAAACATATGTGCCCATGGAAGGATCATGGGGTAGTGTCGATTTCAAAATGTCTGAATTATGATCAGTGGGGTAGGATGGGGATGCATTATGTATAACAAGGGTGAAATCTGGTAAAGAACAGAATGGTCAAAGCTTCTCAGGTGAGCGATGTGGCCCATGGGCCTCTTGTTTTTCTTCTTTGTTCTCCGGTACTTTTTTGTCCGCGAGTGTTCTCAGAAACTGTTCACCCAACTAAGCTAAAACCTTTTTAGGGTTAATAGGCGTGTAGTGTAGGTGTGCGGAACGAAGGTCATTTTGCGCGCATACGCATGCACGTGCGTGCGCGTGAAATGAGTGAAATGACCGATATACTTTATATCGCTATAAATTTTACATTTTTTGATTAAATGATTTGAAACTCATTATATAAAGATATTTTAATAGTGTAGATAATATGACACGGTCAAATTAGCACGAACTCACGCGCATGCACGTGCGCTTCGCTCTGATTGGCTGAAACAAAAATCTCAATATCTTTTCTGTTTTTTGACGAAATAATATGAAATTTAAAATATAGGCATACTTTAGGATGTTCTACAAT